CCCCATTTATCATATAAATCCCCACCCCCACCCCATTTATCATATAAATCCAACCAAAGTGCAAATATTTTTCGAAAAATCTTGAACCATATTTTTTCCTGCTTAACTTTAATTACCGTTAAAAACACTGTTTTGGGCTCTTAAGATTTTGTAGGATTTGTTAAATTATACAATCATGTACTAAGTTTTATAACACTAACTTGGTATTTACTAAAGCTATACATTTCTACCCTTTATAAAACGTCTTTACTAACCTCTGTTTGAGGATGGCATAGAACTGGCCGTGGTGCTTCATAAGATTACCTATCAGACTGCACGCTCTGGACTTCACCGCCCCTGACCGGTGACGCAGCATGGCAGACAGAGGTTCATAGTCACCTGTGGCCACATCAACGATAATAAGATCATATACTGTGAAATCAGTAATTTTCGTGGGCTTTTAGTTTCATTAATTTCATGGGTAATCTTCATCGACGAATTCATAGGTCCACAAAGTATTTGATATAAAGCAGTTCGCTGTTTCAGTGAGTACTGGTAATCCAAAAATTCATGTTCCCCTTAAATGGTGTTTTGTTCAGGAAACCACAAAATTTGGGCCCCACAAAAAATATCGATTTCGCAGTAACTCTACACGAAGAATTTTTTATATTAAATTACACAGTTAATGTCTCTATAATTATTAAGTTTCTGAAGTGCTGCTTCTTTCTCTATTACTTAATTTGGTTTCTCACTATTTGAGAGTGTGAATAAAATACGTTGCAATTCTTCAATTTAACTCACCAAACAAAAAGGGGAGACAACTTACCCTTACTACTGTGGAAGACTGACTTGAGGAGTTGATAAATATCTTTAGATGATAAAACAAGATTATCACAAGGGGAGACAACTTACCTTTACTACCATGGAAGACAGACTTGACAAGTTGATAAATATCTTTAGATGATTTGACAAAATTATCACAAGGGGAGACAACTTACCTTAACTACCATTGAACAGACTTGACAAGTTGATAATTATCTTTAGATGATCTGACAAGATTATCACAAGGGGAGAAAACTTACCTTAACTACCATTGAATAGACTGGACGAGTTGATAATTATCTTTAGATGATCTGTCAATATTATCGCAAGGGGAAGCAACTTACCCTTAGTACCATGGAAGACAGACTTGACGAGTTGATAATTATCTTTAGATGATCTGACTAGATGATTACACAGCGATATAACGTCACATATGACCGCCTCTTGACTGGACGGCTGTATACAGCTACTAAGGAAGGATAGGGCCTGAAAAATAAACAGGACATATCAATACAGAAGCTGCATGACAATTCGCCACAACAAATACAAGGAGACAAGATTGTATTTTGTTTTCTTGTCCAACCTTCTCCAGAATTAGCTACATTACAGACATTTAAACTCTTTTAAAACTATTTTTGATACATGTATAACCAATTGAGGCAGAGTCCCAGCACTCTGTGTTGTGTCTCCCAACACAGCTCCAATTGGTTTCACATTTTTTCTTATATGGAGTTGCTTTACCAATTTGCAATAGCAAAATTTATGTACTAATTAGAAAATGATACATTACTGTATCAGGAGAAAGAGGAATGCAACAGTCAGATCGGGGTTCGAACCCAGAACCCTCCAAACTTTAGACTGATGCTTTAACAATTCAGCTACACGTACCTGGTTGCCAAGCAACCAACTCCATTCAGAAACCACCTGCGCTAAGAGGCCACTTTAACTATTAATCGGGCAATTTCTGCCAAGAAAACACTAATATAACTTTCACAAGAATTGATAGAAAGTGTATCCTTGTTTTAACAGGTGATGGTTTCTAACACATCAGTTCACAAACAATGGAAAATATCATTAAAGAAATGCTAAACGGTCACCGAAACAAATTACCAAAAGTACTTCATTTTAGCCTGATAATAATACCTTAAGGTCCTTTAGGGACTTAATGAATCTGTCCATGAAGTCATCACTGCTGAGGACGAGGTGTACGATCAAGCCGAGGGGCATTTCCATCTGAGCTTGCTTCAGGTATTTATTACAGGCGTGTAACAGTCGGGGCAATATGTTCACAGTGAACAGGCAACTACAAATACACATCCAAAATCAAAGTTTCCCATGTTTTATTGTCTTAACATTTGACTAAATATCAAGACAAATTTATAGTTAAACAGGTAATCAGAAAATTAGGAAATTAGAAGAAAAAAAACCGGAGAATTGGGAAATTAGAAAGAAAACAAAACAGACTCTAAGAAAATTACAAAATACCAGGAATATTATCAAGAAAACATTATGGAAGGAATATTTCTGAATCAATATTTATAAAATCTATTATTCAGTCAATTGGAAGAAACAATACTCCTGCTTTGACTAAAACAATGTTTTATATTATTTGATGATTACATTGTCAACCAAATTTATGCCATTTAACACAGGATTGTCATTGCTTCCTAAAAATGGCAAGTTTGTTCTGCCAAAGAGAATGGGCCCAAGGAATTTAAAAAAAACAACAATTTGCGTATTAACCCATGTTATATGACCTATCAGTCCTGTGATTGGTTGTAAGTTTCAATTGTTTCAATTGTGGCGTCACGCCTAGGACAAGTACATGACGTCACAGACTTACGCACTGGAGTCAAAATGGCGGCTATTTAAATTTCCAGGTTGCATTAAAATTGTCGTTTTACACGAATAAATGCCACAGATCTTGATTATGTGATAAAAAGGATCTTACCGAACAACTCGTTTCATTTCATAAGAAATTTATGAAACCCGTCACAAATTTTTCAGTTTAACTCGCCAGAGGCTCACTAAATTGAAAAATTCCTAGACTCATTTCATGAATCTCATATGAAATGGAAGCTCATGTAAGATCCTATAAATATATCCAAAAGTTATCAAAAATATATTACATATGGCCTCTGACAATGAGACACACGGAGACAATCACAGATAACAATAGGCAGTGTACCTACCTCTGTACTTCGGTGAGCAGGTCGTCGGGAAGATCTATTGCAAAGGGGAAACAGCACAACTGTGTGACCTGGAGGATGATGTCTGTGGCCAGCTGTACACCTTCAGTGTCAAAACTGTTCACAAAATACATAAACGTCATAAAAACTGTGAAGATCACATATTCTTCAAATCGAAACTGTTCCCAAAATACACAAACGTCATAAAAACTGTGAAGATCACATATTCTTCAAATCAAAACTGTACACAAAATATACAAACGTCATAAAAACTGTGAAGCTCACATATTCTTCAAATCAAAACTGTACACAAAATATACAAACGTTATAAAAACTGTGAAGATCACACATTCTTCAAATCGAAACTGTACACAAAGTACACAAACGTCATAAAAACTGTGAAGATCACATATTCTTCAAATCGAAACTGTACACAAAATACACCATTTCGTTTTTAAGTTCACAAAGCAATACTCAATAACTGGATGGTAAACCCTCCATATCAAAAATGTACACACAAAAACAGCCTCATTACCAGCCAGTAATTACAAGAGTAATATATACTGTTAAAATGGAAATTTTCGCATGTGGAAATGTTCCTGTTGGGACCCTTTAAACTCACTGTGGTGTGGACATTTTTCGCATTTACAATAGTTCTGAAATTTTTATATTATTTCAATTTATTCATAATCTATACGATCTATGAATAAATATTTGTGTGTGGATATTTTCACGTAAATACTTCCACACCGTGAAAATTTCCCCTTTCACAGTATTGCTTGGAAAACATGTGATTTCAGGGTCATTTAACACCTGTACCAGTAGCTCTATAAATACTTAACTCATTCACCCCGAAGACACATTTGATCTCCTCCAATTCAAAGGTTGGAATAGATCATTATGGAGTTTCGGGGGTGAATGAGTTAAATGAATGATATGAACATTGAGTATTATTCTACAGAATGATTGTTTGTTTACCTGGTTACTATGGCAGCAAGGAAGTCTTTGTTGAGGAGGTGGGCAATGGTCAGCAGTATGATACTGTCAGGTACAGCGAGGTTAGGGATACACTGATTTGTCTCCTGAATTACAATATTTACATGTATTTACACTCTACTGAATGTAAAAGGTTAACTGTATTTCCATACACTGTTGTTTTTTGGTGTGTTTTTTTTAGAGTATTTGAATGCATTAAAAAATGACTGGCATACTTATCACCACTCCCCAGACAATCATCTCACTTAAAGTCTAACAAACTAAATATTTAATTGACTTTAGGGTTCTGGGACTACACAGTTTGCAGTCTTTAGTTCCTGGGATCGAATACCAGCCTATAGCCCCATTGCATGTTTACACTCACACTGCTGTTGATATCTTTTTTGTTTGCTCATTTCATCTTCATTAATTTTTTCATTAAAAGTTCTGTAAGATGTGGGTTTCCTTTTAAAGCATACAAGTAAAAAGGTTTCCAATTTACACTACTGCATGTAAATGCCATTAACTGGCCCCCAATAACCCATTAATTCATGTCATTAATTTGGCTATGACTCTCTAATTGCTTTCCTATTAAAAATGGCAATATCATTAAAGTCATACATATAGCACCATTAATTTTAAGCTTTAATTGCAATTAATTAATAATATTAATAGCATTTAAAAAAAAAATAGCAAATAAGTCTTAACAATTTGTAAGCCTATTAAAATCACAGTAATCATGATTTGAGAATTTCATGGCAAAATAATGGCCATTATATATGCCATTAAAATTTCATAGTCTTTTAACACATTTTTGCAGTGGTACGGGTAACCTTAAAAGTCTCAACAGGGGCCTGTTCTTTTAAGCGGAAAAACCAGTTTGACCGTCTTTAAATGTAACATTTTCGGGTATAAATCCTGGCAGACCTGCAAATGTTTATGCAGGCCTAGCAAGGCTTTGTCAAGACTCGCCCTGAAAGCAACATCAGATGATTAGGTCCGACCTTATTTAATAAACAAACAACTGTGGTCCAACCGGTTCAACCGTTTAAAAAAACGGCCCAGTACTGTGTACTGCCCTTACCTTGGTGAAGACTGTGACAGACATCTGTAGTACGGCCATGAGGCCCTGTGGTGACACTAGAGTCCAGTCTGGAGAGTGGAAGCCAGACACTGGTCCCCCCTCCTCCTCGATGTCATGGATGGGTGTGTCCGTCTCTGGGTTGGTCACCTGTAATGCCTGGGCCACTCTGTGCCACAGTGTCCCCCATATACCGGTGTCTATGTACATCTGGGCTACCGGGCCCTCCGCCTACAATCGACAGGGCAGACTATTACATCACAGTACTAATAATAGGCCCATACCTATATACAGCCTTCCGCCTATGATCAAAATAGTAGACTACCATAAAGCAAGATATATCTTTGGGAATGATATTACTATATGCCAGGGCCTGTATTTATGAAACCGTTCTCATGCTCAAGCATGGATTTTGTGCTCAAGCCTAATTTCTTGTTTCAGTTATAAACTAATAAAATAAATATTGTTTTTTCTATGATTTTGAAAAAAAAAATGAAGAGACTTTAAGCCGAATACTGTTCTCAATGTTGACATTTGACTTTTAATTGTTTGACCTATTTAAAGTGAGTTTCAAGGAAGTTGGTTTCAGCACAGAGTCCATGCTTGAGCACGAGAACAGCTTCATGAATACAGGCCATGGCGTCCATAATAGTAATACATGTATACCCATAGCTATGTATTTTCTTCTGCCAATTATCAACAGTGCAGACTTATATAATATACATCAGAATAGGATTTTTTTGTTTTAGTACGAACATGCTTTTTTCATGATAAAATTCTTTGCAAGAATTCTAAGTATGCTTGTTGATAGTAAAAACACTTTCTCACTACTTTCAAATCCAAACTTAAAGGTGTCTAAGAAACACCCTCTCCCTATTACTCAGAAGACTTGTTGGATGAGACTGATCATGCAATTGTACGGATATTTTGATAAAGGTCAGATCATCAATGAACTAAAATTATCCGTTACCTGCGCCAGCATTTCACACAGAAGTAGCAGTAGACCATCCAACACACCGTAGTCAAAAGGACATCGCACACAGATCTGTAATGATAAGGAATTTAATTTCTGTAAACACACAAGTTTATTTTAGTGCACTTGAATCTTAGTGCATTATCAAATTTTGACAGGTACAGGTTAGTGTATTATCAAATTTTAACAGGTACAGGTTAGTGTATTATCAAATTTTAACAGGTTATAGTGTATTAACAAGTTTTAACAGGTTAGCACATTATCAAATTTTAACAGGTTAGTGCATTATCAAATTTTAACAGGTTAGTGCATTATCAAATTTCATAAGGTTAGTGCATTATCAAATTTTAACAGGTTAGTGCATTGATGAATTGGCACACCCACTATATGTGCAATAGAGAACATAATACAGATACTTCACTTGCTGCAATCATATTTCAGCAAAAGATTTAACCCTTTAATTTTCACCACTGTAGACAATAATGGACTCGTCCATATCAATGCATGGCTGAGTTAACTTAAGTTATACAGGGGTGAAAGGGTTAAACTGCTAAACTAAGATTACCACTAAAGCATCCCCATTTACAGTAATGAAATAACAGCATCTTACAACTCATAAAAATACTGAAATAATATGAGTCCTTCTATTTAGAACAAAAGAAGAGATTTGAAAATGATTATCATTAACCCTAATAGCAGCTCAAACAAATGATTTTTTTTTAATATGATATGCGTTAAATTTGAACAAATTTGCAAAAACGACTATCTAAGAATAAGAAAAATATTGACATGAAAAGTAAAATCTATTCTATTACCAGTTTGATACTACCAGCTCTCTAAACCTTTCAACCTCAGTCAGTTAACAAAAAGTGTGGACACATGTTTCTGATTGGTTATAGGCTGTAATAAGTTGAAGAAAGAAATTCAACCTCTTTCTTAAAATAACTTTTAACCAATCAATTCATTTATTTTGAATTACCGCCAATTTAAAATTAGCTAATTTTGCACTGAAACATTTCATTGGGAATAATTTTTTAGATCATCTGAAAATAAAGTGGTGCACAGCAAAACGTTTAACGAACAGAAAAGCAAATATTCTTGGTAGCTTAGAGTATAGTACTAACTACAAGTAAAACAGGTGAAACTTATTTTTGTCTCTGTAAATTTTTTTTAAACTGAGAGTATAATCATCAATTGGGGAGGTCCACTATCTAGGAAAGATGGGATTTTCTTAGGATCTGTTGGTACACAGAACTTGAACACAAAAGAACATACCATCGGTTAATATGAATAGCCATACGATAGTCAACAATATACATCTAAACATTCTGTTGTGTGATGATCGACAGCCAACCAGTTAAACACACAGGTGAACTACACTGACCCGTTGAAGCTTTGAAGCTGTATATTACAATCTTAATAACTATCGTCTGCTACATATAGGCAACCATGCAGCAATGCAGTAAATGTAGAAAAAAATTGTCTGTAAAAATATTACCCATGTATTTGTAAAACAATATCATGAATCAATGTTTTTATGCGGAAAACAGACTTGCAAGTTTGTTTTTATTTGTTTTCAACATATTTTATTGACAAGCAAATGGATAAAATATGTTAAAAACAAATAAAAACAAGTTTGTAGGTCTTATTCATGCAGATCTAATTTGTGTGCATCAAAAATATAAGATTTATCCCTTGTAAAAATTCAGGTTCCTGAAAAAATATACCGTATTTGTCATAATATTTGACATATTAGCACCCACGTGCACAGCGCTTCAAAAATTGGCTGGAAGGGGACTCTTGTGAAGATAACAAATGTTAGGTCAGTTGCTGTTGATGCATAATACATGATGAAACTGTCAGGCACATTTCAGACTAGAGATAATTCCAAAATCATTCTTTTTTTCTTTCTCTAAAACCCTGGAAAACTGTCATGTCAGATCACGAGACTGTCGTGTCCATATACTGTGTTTTATTATTATTTGTTAACTGAAGGGGGACAAAATGGAAGGAGCGTTTAAGTAGAAGCCAGCAGGGCTTGTATATCATTTCAATAAGTGCCCAACAAAAGGGGAAGGATGCTTATAGGAGAGGGGGCACTAATTACAGCAAATACGGTATATGAGAACCGAGTTCGTTACGACTTTCGTTATATGTTTTTACAATGATCACTAGGTAACACAAAAAGATACAGACAGAGAAAGGGAGAAGATCAATACAGGGGTGCATTTGTTTTACCTGAGAAAAACAGTTGGTTATCTATAAATTCATAGAAAGAAATTCAGTGTAATTTTAGAATTTATATGAATATCTGACGGTGTTTAAAAACATCTAGAAACAAACATCTAGAATGCACTATCTCATGGCATATTAAATCTGATGGTGGTTTTTTTGGTAATACATGTAATAAACCAAAATAATAAATTATTGATGAAATCAAATTTTCTACATAAATCTTTTTTATAAATGTCTGACAAGAGTCATCCAAGTTTTCAAAATTATTGGAATTATCTTAATGAGTTGATTAAGTGCTTGATAATGAAAATAAATGACAAGAAAAAATATGTGACAGGAAAAACACTTGAAAATAGTGTGTTTGAAGTGTAATAAGAAGAAACATAAAGTAAAACTGCTGACAAACTTGGACGAGTGAAATAATCACCCCCTCCCCCTACCAATGTCAAGGGACTCAACAAGTTTTGAGTTATAAAAAGTAAGTTCTACTGTACAACCTCAGACTTACCTGTTGTAGATCTGTGAACACAGACAGACAAGCTTGTAACATCTCCTCCGGCTGCACCTCAACAGAGACCCCGCAATAGATCATCTGACTGAACAACAGGGCTGCTGCCGCCTACAATCAAATCCCATATAGTATTGTATTCAAATTTCTAAATCTAGTCTCTTTGTACAATGGCAATGTGCACCAAAATTTCCTTAAGAATGAGTTCATTCAATACCAACAAAATGTGACAAGTCAAACTTGTAAATAAGAATAATAGATAGTATGATAAATTGTATTTCATGAAAATAAGGACTCTTCCGGAAATAAATATTAAGGGGCAAGAATGCTTTTTGTAACCTTCACCATTACAATTGTTTTTCTCCACAAGCCAAATATTTACAAATTTTACATTAATATCTATTTCACATCTCATAATCAATGGACTTAAAAAAAACAATTTTTAAGTGCTTTCTTTCCCCCATTCAAATAAATTATTACTAAGGTCATTCTAATAGGTTGCCAATTATTGAAAACACTAAATTTCTCATAACTCAGAAGATAAGGGGAGGGACTGGGCCTTGTAAGTTTTAGGAACTTGTGCCAAATCCCCTTGACTGTTTAATGTCAATAAAATATGTTAAAATGAATGAAAGAGTTATGTATATCATGTTTTCGTTGCCGTAGATTTTATTTCAAAACTCTTCGACTGTATGCACTCACGGTATGACTGGCAATGGTGGACTCGAGGAAGATGTTTACAAAGACGGAGGCTGACTCGGACAACACCTGAGGTAACGTCTGTAGCTGTATGACTATAGTACTGAACACGTGTAGGATCATCTCTATCACCGAGTTTATCTCCATGTCCTGCACCTCAACCTGTTGAACACAAACAACATTTGTTCATTTCAGTCAATTTATTTGGATATCAACTGGAATGGACAACAGTCTATGTCTATATCTGTATTCTCCTGGCCTGTATTACGTTACTTAACCCTTTCACCACTGAAGACCATAATGGACTCATCCATTTCAATGCATGATAGAGTCTACTCAAGTTACACAGGGGTGAAAGGGTTAATACAAATACAAGTATCTATTAAACATAAAAGTAATTTGTCCATTTCCATCAATTATTGGACATCAAAATGACCAGACAATACACTTTGTCCACATAAGTCTTCTCCTGGACTGCGATACATCCAACATACAGTAGCGATGAAAGGGGAGTAAAAAATGTTCACTTTCCAGGCCATCAACTAAACCTTAGAGGTATTCAATGTGAGGAATGTTCTGTCTGGAGCAAGAGGAAGAATTCCAAAACTAGTATTTCTTTCATTTCCCTGTGTGTAAGATAGAGCTGTCCAGGGTAGGAAAGGGGTGTAGGAAATTTCTATATTACACCCCGTTTCAGGTGCTGTGATGTCACAATTGCTCAACAATGATGTGATGTCATGAATTTGGAAAAGTCTGATGCCACAATGCGAAAAAGCTGACGTGATGAAGATATAGCCTTTTACAATATTTTGACCGTACAAGTTAGAAAGATGAGTTTCTGTTCATATGTTTGCAAATATTGAGTATACTAAATCTCACAGACAGTTTTGTTTTTTCGTCAAAAAAAAAAAAAAAAAGCTGATATTTTCAAAATGGTAGCCAGTCAAAACACATTTTCATGGTTTCTGAGCTTATTCTGGTATTTGGAATGAAAGAAAAATACTCTTCTATGCCCAGGGAGTGTGGGATAGGGAAATTCCACCCTTGGGCAAACCCTCGGGTTTAACAAAATTTGAAAAACCCTCCTGCTGAATTATCCTATCCTACACCCCTGGGCATGAAAGTGTCTTGTATTGTTACACAAACAGTTGCAATTAAAGGGAGTAAAAAAGTTGGGTGTCACTTCTGTGTAATCTTCAAAAGACAGGTATCTGCCTAGCGATTGGTCAGGTGTTTTTTTTACCCGAGACCAATCAAACAGCTATCTTCACGCCTTCAGTTTTGCTCTGACATATTCCAGGGATGCAGAGAACGCAAGTGAGCGTATCCACTGGAGTATGGAGGATGCCTGTACAGGACAGCTCTACAATACTCAGTTCCCAGTATGTACACAGACAAGGTTCTCTAGGTGACCTACCTTGCCCATGAGGACACCCATCAGGGAATCCATGTGGTTTAGCTGGTTGGAGATGTATGAACAGAATACAGATGACACTTGCGAACACGCGTAAATAACCTGCGGGACAAAACACAGGAATGTCAACAAAATTACCGGGTAGACAAAAAGAAAACAAATATCATAATTTTCTTTTCATATTTCTTGAAAAGTTTTATTTAATTAGATGCTCTGTCACAACTTTGATTGTTTTAACACTCAGAACACTGCTGTTGATTTTTTTTTGTTTACTTCATCTTTAACATTTTCCGGAAAATCCCGAAAGGAATGGTTTTCTTTTCAGAAATGATTTCTCAAAGCTATGATAGTAATACCGAAAAAAACAGTTTCCCATACTTAAATACAGTTTTTAGTTACAGTTTTTGGCCTTGGTACAAGGATCCGTAAGTGTATCACAACCAACAATCATTTCACCTACCTTTAAGACATTTGTACAGTGGGCCGGGTGTCGAGATAACATTAGAAATTCATCAGTTAACTGTTCTGTACCCTTGGATGCAAGCTTGTCTCCCAGGTAATGGGCTACCTGTAATCAGTCAAGTGTGACCATTATTATCATGTCATCTTTGTATTATTTCATTTATATTTATTAACAATTATTATTTAATCATCACCATCTATACTAACTCTATGATTGTTAAATTTTGCGGGGTTGAAATTTCGCAATTTTGTTTCCGGAACTTTTTCGCGGGGGTTTAATTCTGTGAATCACAATTCTGTAAGTTTACTACTAGCTACGAACAACCCGACATTGTTACTCAATAGGCGAATAGCCTCAGCTCAACTGGTATCAGGGACGTGTGAAGAGTGGATGTTATGGCGACAATCTCAAAATATTCGTGAATTTTAAAGCAGTCGCAAATTCATGAAAATAAAACCCTCATGAATATTAACAACTATACAGTGCTCTATCAATATCTAAGTTGTGGAAGGCACATATCTTATAACTAGCTAATTGCAGTATATTAAGGTTTTCTATATTTTTGTTAAAGTTCCTCCCCACCATCCTTAGTCACTAGTTCTTGAATTGCCCTTGAAAGACTTCAACAATCATTCTCTATGAAACCATACCAGGTAGTTTCAAATTAAGAAATATTTTAAGAGTTTCATGTTTTAACTTAAATGTTCAAAAATACAGTTTTGTGAAAGTGTCTTACAAACCTCAAAAGCGGTTAGTTCCTAAAAAGCCCTGATGAATAAAGAACCTGTTTGATATACCTTTCTCCGGCCGTCTGCTCCCTCGTCGGGGGTCAGGGGCAGAGTGACCATGACTGACAGGGTGGTCACTGCTATCTGTATCAGGGTGTCCATCCTCTCTGCGGCCGCTTCACCGTTACCGTCCGCCAGCTCTGTACGAATATCAAAACATATACCAATCAAAGTAACATTCACGGATTGAAGTAACACTCGGAATACAGGTCGTTTCATATACTGCAATATATTGGTGTCAGTTTCATATATAATATCTACCGGGAAACTTTCGCCCAGTCAAATATTTGCCTTGGGTGATAGAATCCATGTTGGACTAGTGTTAATTTCGCCCTTCACATCCATTTACTATACGTTGTATGTTTTGTACTTCTATTCCCTGTCATGATACATTTGCTTTGGAGAGCGAAAAAGGCAGAAGTTAAACTGCTGCGAAAATTTTCTGGTATACAGAAATATCAGACATACCAAAATCTGCCAACAAATACATAATATACATATTAACGTATATCGTAGATTCTACTTAATTCATTATTGGATAAATACAAATCATCCATTCATGCACATAAGAAACCGTAAATCAAGATATTTTTACGTAAGTTTTGAAATTTTTTAAATAGCTGTAGTTCTATATTAACTGGTCTAACCACTGCAAAAATATCCCAATTCATGGTTTTCAAAAACAGAACTATTTTCTATCTATTTACTATATACAAGGGAAATTTTTCAACCTACGTCATGATCATGAGGGCGAATTTACCATAACAGCATGGGTACCCTATACAGTTATTACCTCTTAAGGGCAAAATGAACACTGGGTGAACATGGATTTTATCAGTGAAGGGAGAATATTTGACTTGGCAAAAGTTTCCCGGTATATGTATACAGTATCTGTTTGAGTAAACAAAATCGTATATTTTTGTAAAAAAAGTAATCACACTTAAATATTCTTTGTATGTATATTTTTTGTTATTCAAGTCAGTTCCTACAGTGATATCAAATTTACAGGGATTTAAATGTCCAACATGCTCTTGATTACGATACAATGCTATGGTATGATAAATCCTAAAACTCACATAGTATCATCAAAAGAACTACATCAACCACTATCTAAAAGTATAAACTGGAGAATATTCTGTTACGCAGGTTCGTCATGGAGTCTGAGATGTACAGAGCGAAGCATAGGCAGATTTGATAGTTGAGAGTGGTTAACACTCTGGCCTTCGATTCCAAAACGACTGCCAGAGTTCCATACCTTTAGTGATCGTGATATGGAATGTTCAGCAAAAAGTTTTTCTCCTGCCTACACTACCCAAGTAATCCAAATGGAATTTATAAAGGTCTGGGATGTGTTCTACAGTGTATGTGTTGTGACATTCAATTGAGATGACACTGTGGAAAAGATGCTATTTGAAGCTTGGTCTCGCAGCAAAACAGAACTCCAGTACGCCTCTTGCATGCATACAGGCAGAAGCACATGAGAAGGTATTAGCAAGGTGGCTTAGGACCAGCTGACCAGTAAGGTCCTGACTGATTGTTTTAATGGATTGCATTTCATATGTGAGTTAAAGCCCTTAAGAATGGCTTATCCTAGCTATATCAAATGCTGTTCAGAAATGTTGGCAAGGTCACAAAGCACTCAGAAGTACCTACTGACTCTACATTTAGAATGTAGTATGCAAGGTGAAAAGATAATGTATGGCTTTAGGAGTGTGGCATAATAATGTAACACTGATAAATCTAATCCATGTTTTTTTCTGAGGTGTTTTTGGGGCCAATAATACGCCCCATTCCGAATTGAAACTATTTCATATTTATGCCTAATTCCGAAAAATTGCAGTTTAAATATCCTGTAAATATACCACCCAATTGGTATATTTTCTTCCCAAAATGTGACAAAAAGGCATCTTCCCAAATTAACCGGGAAAAAACCCACAGCAATGCTGTTAAACATTGCCAACTTAACAATGGACAAGATTAACAGACAAAACCAGTACAATGAAAGATGTTCTAAACATTTGTAGTGTCCTGAGGCCGAGGTGAATTTGCCTGGTGATTATTATTAACTACATGTGTAATTAATTTGATTGTATATGTCTGTTGCTATATTCCAGTAGTACATGCATGTTTGTAGCACATTCTGCATGTGTTAGTCATACGACATGCAGTGTACAGGTTTCCAGATCCCCAATAAGCATTGCCAAGATACACATAGCAGAACAAATCTGGAAACCAGCAAGCAGTTTCAAGATCACCTGAGATGTCGAGAGGAAACATACTCGAGCCTGAAAAATAATGCACCTGTATCAATATAACAGATCACAAGAAGACGGTGAATAATTAACGAATCAGCGACAGAAATTCTGCTTGTAATTAGTGTAGGGTTGTAGACTTAAATATTGGCAATAAATATAATTAATCAGTGCTCTGTTGGCATCCAAAATACAGTGAAACCACACACGTTTCCGACAGACACACATGAGGCGATAGCCAGGAATACATTCTATTTCGACTGCTTTTCACTGTTAATCTTGCATAATCCCACTAATCAACATACAGACGGGCACAGCCCTAGCTATTTAACTCATTCACCCCTGAAGACACATTTGAACTCTTCCAACACAAAGGTTGGAATAGTTCATTATGAAACTTCAGGGGTGTACGAGTTAATTATATTGAGGTTTTTTATTATGGAATTCCTCAAATATCTAGAAACTATTTCATGACTTATCAAAGTTTTACTTTTTACACAAACAATGTACATATTTAACATATTGCAATGTTTCAAGACCGACTGGTCCCTTTGTCAAGCTATGACTGGGTGAACAATTTGTATTGTTTACCTGTACAACGATGTGACGAAATTGTATATTCTATATGTCACTCGACCAGACAGATCCTTGTTCAGGTAAACAATACAAATTGCTCACTCAGTCATAGCTTGACAACGGGACCAGTCGGTCTTGAAACATTGTGACACGTAATTTTTTACGCACATTATTTGTGTATAAAGTAAACTTTTGCAATTACATATTTCTAAACCGATGAATCTTATTGGAAGTATTTCTTGACTTATTATTGTATTTGTATTGGTGAATTCTATCTCATATATATTTCCCTGACAATACATTACTATTATATTTATTTTATGGGCTTTTTTCCTTTATTTAATTACTTCATTTGTAAAAATAAAACTCTGTTCGAAAAAGTCTTATAAGTGTTACCCTGTCCACTTTGAACAAACATGTAAAATTTCTAAGAAGATAGGCAGTCATACATTTTTTATCCGCTAAGTTTTTAAATAACTTAGTTAAACACTTGAAAATTCTGTCAAAAGGCCTTTGTGATTGGGTGGTATCTACTGTTCACAGAACATCCCATCTTACCTGTGAGTTTTTTGAGTATCTGAGCGTCGGGTTTGGTACACTCCAGGAGGGCGTCTATGGCCGCCATGTGTTTACCGGATAATTGAGTGAAGTACTGGTTTGCCAAGTGTAATTTATTCCTCTCCATCACTTCACAGGTAAACATCCCACACTGTAATAATAATTTACAAGTTTAGCAATGACTTTAAACCATAGCTAAGATGTTTTCGTATTTGGTTTTACTGTTTATAAGCTTTTTACTGGTAAAATCTGTTGAACAATAGAATGGGCTTATAACTGACTGTGGGGTTTTTACTGGTAAAATCTGTTGAACAAGGGGCTAGGCTTATAACTGATTGTGGGGTTTTTACTGGTAAAATCTGTTGAACAAGGGGTTGGGCTTATAACTGACTGTGGGGTTTTTACTGGTAAAATCTGTTGAACATGGGAATGGGCTTATAACTGACTGTGGGGTTTTTACTGGTAAAATCTGTTGAACACGTGGATGGTGTTTATAGCTCACAGTAGCTTTTTTCTGGTTAAATCTGTTGAAAAGGGCTGGGCTTATTACTGAGCGTTGTCTAATCACCGGAAAATGACATAGCGATTTAAAAAACCATACCAGCACAGCTTGCTCCCTAAGTCGCAAGTCCTCATCGGCAGGCAGACTGACCAATTTGGGGAAAACGGACATAAACTGCAGCATAGCATCATAATACTCCTGTACCCTACAAAAGAAATGCATTTTATGCATTTTACAACACTGATGAGAGTAGTTATATCAACTTAGATATTAATTACTTTTGCTGTCTCAAATGAAAGCGCATATGGAATCTTGATATGGGGAGAAAACCCATGTGGTCAGGAAAGTGATGCCATATCTTTTAACTCATTCAACCCTGAAATTTTATAATGAGCAATTCCAACCTTTGAATTGGAAGAGCTCAAATGTGTCTCCAGGGGTGAATGAGTTAATGTCAAATATGGGAATCAAAACAGGGGCCTGTTCGTTTATGCGGAACAACCAGTTGGTCTGTTTATAAATGTAACATTTTTGGGTATTAATCCTGGCAGACCTGCGAATGTTTATGCAGGCCTTGCAGGGCTTTGTCAAGGCTCGCCTGAAACCAGCATCAGATTACTAGGTCTGACCGGTTTAACCGTTTAACCGAAAAAGGCCCTGGTGTCTGTATTGGTGAAAGTAGAGCGTGCTACCCACTGTGCCATGTGATCCCCCAATGAAATCAGTTCCTGATAAGTAAGGCAGTTCTTTTCGCTAATTATAACAATAGATTCTGTAGTTCCTCTTGTTTTGCAATTTAGAATACAAACATACATCCTGCTGAGGTGATCTAGCCATTGGTAACAAAAGCCAAAATAAGGGACATTAAGTATTTTTCTTTTAACAAAGGTATCTGACAAATTCAAAGTGAAAAACGAAACTTTGGTGTAAATAATTTAGGCACCCAAGGGTCAGCACGGAAAGCATGAAAATGATACTACTGTATTCTATAACAAAGCAATCGCAGGTAAACTAGCCAGCTCCCTACAGACACTCACACTTCTTTGTCCAGTTTATCACACCAGCTGATCTCGCTAGCGAAGTAGGCATTGAGGGCGATCACCAGGTCCATCAGTATCTGCTGACACCATGGTTGCTGTGGATGAAACAACAGGAAAATGTTCACCATAATTTTCAGTTTTTAAATATTTATATAAAATATATTTTCCACAACATGTTTATCCATATATAATTTCAAATAAAATAGCCAATGAAAACAACTAAGCCCCTGTTTTGGGAAAAACATTTAAAATTGTATAATTATACATTAATAATGAGAAGAGATGACCATGACCACATCAACTGGGATATCAGCACATATAATCCAGTGTTTACATTGTAATGAATTTCTTTTTGCATAATTCCAATCATCAACTCATGTAAGACAACCTTTAAAATGAACTACATGCATATTTGTTTGGCTGCTGTTTTGAAAATAAACTGTATAGGAAATGACACAAGATGGTTACAAAATTAATTTTCAAATAGAATAACATCACGTTGATTTATTTACGAAGTTCAACAATGGTTAAAAGACTCCTCCCAGCTGGTACCTGTTTGACTTTGGACTTTTCTAAGATTTCTGTCATCAGCTGTAAGACTTGTTTGGGAATGGACAGGGCCTTGAGGAAGTCCAGGATAAGTGCCACCTCACTGTCAAGGTCAAAAGTTATAAGTCAAAACTTTGCATAAATCGTTGACTTCCTTCTTGCATACGGTCATCTTATGTGAGTGACTGTTGCGATATATATTTTATGTTTCCTGTAGGAACTTTGTGAAAGACATTCCTTTTTGCATATTTTGTGTAAAAAAAATAGTTTCATTGAATCTAATTGTTAAAATAATTTTCAGAAAAGACAACATTTTGGCTGAGATATCATTTCATATTCTAGATCATTTCAATTTTTATAACAGAAATTTTGAGCTGAAGACAACAAATATTGAGAGATGAAAAATTTGAGAGGGAAAATCAAACTTTAAGGGACATATTATTCAGTTGTACAAGTAAAAATATCCTAAAATTATTTATCATGCATATATATCAGTAAAAAAATTCCAAAACATTACAACTGACCACTTAATGGTGACCAGATTAGTGACCACTCGAAGGACTGTCCGGAGTCTGGCCGCGCCTTCCAGCATCCCATCTAAGACCTGACCAGAGCTGTTTCCAATCCTCGTCTTCAGTTTTCCATGGAATTTCTGGTCCTTGAGGAGTTTCATGGCCACCTCTGGGTCTCCTTCCTGGTCGGTGGCATCAATAAGACCCTGCCATTCATCATCACTGTCCACCTCCTGTAGGGACACATTCAAAATTTCAGGTAAAATAAAAATGATCATGAATCAGGAGTTGAACCCTGGACCTCTGGTTTACTAGTCTTACGCTCTACCAAACGAGCTAAAGAAATATTCTCCCTTGCCGAGTCGATGGGAAGCGGCTAATATTTTACCAGGGTGACAGATAGATATTCTGTTTTACAATATCCTTTCAGTAGGTTCCTTATTTTTTAGGGTACCAGCAAATGTAATGCTTTTAATTTCTCATGAATATGACACAGCTTTATCCACTAAAAACCCAGGCCACCTGCCACAGATTTACCAAAATTTGTTATTCATTGGAGCAGGATATTTAAAATAGAATCATCCTTAAAATGTTCCCGATAGAATATCACCATCAACACACAAAAAATCTAAAACTCCAAATGTCTGGGTCTCTTGAGTAAAGCATGTTTTTTCTTTTCTTAATAGTTATTTCCTCAACAAAAACATGTCTTTGATGCCCCTTTTTTTTAATCATTACAGATAAACTAGATGAAACTAAGGAAAATTGCGATGAGAACATAAGTACTGAATTCGGCAGAGAGCATTGTGATGTTAAAGTTAAGGCGTCAGAAAGAAAATGCTGACTTGCATTGTTGTTTCTAAAAATAGTAACATCGAGTTAATATATAGACCATGTATTGAAATATCTATACACACATTACGACGTCTTAGCAAATCAGAATTCATAAAATGCAGACTTTATCTGGCATGTAATGATGCAAATGAGTTTATCAAGTAACTAATGAAATTCTTACAAATATGACCAAAAAAACCTTAAATATTTCAACCTGATGTTTGAACCCTGGGCTTCACTTACCTCCCCTTCCAGTTTGACTTTCTCAATGTTCTTGCGTTTTTCTTTTTTTTCTGGACTGCGTCGCACTGTACGCCTCCCTTCAATCTCTATGCTGGGGTATTCCTTCTCATAGTCCTTACTGATGCGATCTGTCCGCGGGGTAGGGCTCAGATTCTACAAACATCAATCGTTAATTACATTCCAAGGCAAATATATTCCAACACTTTTAACACAGTTCAATTTAAAATGACTCAGGGGTGCAAAATTCCACTAGCCCAACAACCAGAATAGTAGATTTTGTGTAAGGGCAGTTCAAATTTTCAGTATTTACTATAGAAATAAAGGCTGGATTGGTAAAATTTGTCAAAATCTGCCTACAGACTAGTACTCTAAATATAAAATTTGACACTCCTGATAAGAGAAATAGATTTTGTTAAAAGAATTAAGTGACTATATCATTATCCGATACATTTATCAGACACGTTCTCTGATTCAGTTTTTTCCGACTCCAGCATGTTTAATTTAAAACATTAATTAAAAACAATATTCTAAAATAGCTTTCGTAATGGTATAATCAAAATGTTAAACCAATATTTCTTACCTCAATTTCAAGACCTTCATCTCGCTGATGAAAACGAAAACAAGAAAGCAATTTCTGTTAGCAACACAGCAAAACGAAAACCTGGTACAAATATATAATATCAAAATTGAGGACATATATTAATAACAAAAAAGCAAAACACAAAAGACGTTTCTGTTAAAGGAAAATATTTGACGAAAGCTGAACAGACATATATATCATGTAACATATTTTAAACATACACATAAGCATTTAAATTTTAGCACTTTACAAAAAAAAAAAATATAATACGTTAATATAAGTTAATAGCATGGGAACAACGTCAATAAAAAAACAAGTACCTAGTTTTTGTTAGTATCCAATGTATTATACATTTCTACAACATCATAACACTTCTGATACAGTAGTTTACACAACCGCCATCAATATCACATGTTAAAAATAAAACTTTTTCACTCTTTTATGTCTCAAACACTGTCATGCTAATAAATGTTTAAGCTTAATATGAAGGACATTATCAAACCACAAACAACTCGCTCACCTTACTGGTCCCAGTGTTAACCCAAGCTGCGTCCGACGGTGGGCGCTCCCCCTCAGTCGGAGCGGCCTTCACACCATTTCCTGTGTCTGGCTGTTCCTGTTTGTCCTCTCCCTCCCCACTCTTTTTGGGTTTGTCGCCCCAAGCTTCCTTCCCATTATTGTTATATTTCTCTGCACCAGGGATCTCCCTTGTTCCTTTCTGTGATAATAAATTTTCAATTTTCAGTTCGCAAAGTAAAAGACTGTATACTGAAGCTTTCATCCAGCCAAATTTTCGCCCTTCACTGGTAGAATTCATTTTCGTGCAGTATTGATTTTACCCTTGTTGTGTTATTACTATGGCTACATTCGCGTATCCCGGTTGAAACAGTACCGGTGGCGCAGAAATTTTCCACAATAAACGAACACACTTGGACCGTTCTACAAGCAGAGCTAAAAATGCACAGTTTTGGAGAATATAAAACAATGTATCAAGAATAATATGCCCTTCTTTCATCCGTCCACTAAATTACATAACGTATCTTAAAAACTACACGTGACTTGACATTGTTTAAGAAAGAAATAAAGCAAATTGGCAATTTTCAGCATTTTAGTTTCGGTCAGGTACGTCTGGACCCCTCAATCTACATGTACCAAATTTTCCTGAGGTCAGCCTCGGTCCAAATCTGTACCGTCGTTTTCTTTACAGGTTCAACCGGTTCAACCGTTTCAACCGGATACACAAATGTAGCCTATGTATAGCATGGTGTGTACTGATGTTCTATTTCGCAGTATATTCTCTATCATTACAAGAGAGGCGAAAGTATACCAGTGCCAAACAAATCCATGTATACAGTATTTTCATCTTCTCCTTGTTCAAATTCAACAGTTTAGCAGGGCCATTTTCGTTTATCGCGGTCCAAACGATAAAACTGCTTGGACCTGAGTTGTTCATTTATCAAATAAGGTCGGACCTAGTAATCTAATGCTGCTCAATTTTTTAACTGTTGTACTATACTATATACCAGTTTTCTTACCTTTTTTTCTTCCTCCATGGCCTTGCGCTTGGCCTTGGCTAGTATTTTAGAGGTGCCAGGTGGATGTGCCTTCTCCTTGGCCTGTTTCTCCTTCATGATCTGCATGGAGGCGGTGAGGGGCTGTGTAAAGGGGCTTGGTAGGTTTACGTCTTCTTCTCGCACTGTCAAAAAATCATTATTTAACAATGGTACAGTAAAATCTATGTTTTAAATTCTTATATGAAGCAAGCAAGCTCAGATTTTACATATTCCACCCCCCACCCCCAATACTTCCCAATACTTCACATTTTGATTCTTTAGTCTCTCAGACTCAGCTTGCTCTCCCCTTTCTCACAACAATTTTAATCATTTCAGACTGCTATACCATTCAGGTTTTTTTTTACAAAGTATAAATCACTAAAAGACTTTCACTTGGTTTGAAACATATTGAAGATAAATACTCTTTGAAACAATACAGAAATTATTTCAGGAACTATACATTCTTCTCGCTAGACAATGCTTGCATGGTTTTCTTAGCTCTTCCTTTTCCAAAATAAAGATTATCAGACAAAAGTCACTCTTCTATTCAGAAATCAAACTTATATATTGTATCTCTTTTGTCTTTCCAGAAATAGCAAGTAAAATTACACAGGTACAGTAACACTTTCTCCATCATCATTGAGTGCAGTTTCAATAGGAAAATAGAGATTGCTTAATATACTAGAGTAATTATGTTATATTATATACAGGTTAATAGGACATGTAAGGGTACATAAAATACAAAATAATCTATATGATTTGTACATTTTATCTGATACATATATCTTATTTGAATCATTTAAATTTACAGTCATCATTGTTTTTGACTTTGCAGCCATATGTATATATCATCATTATCGTTTTAAGGGGGAAGACACATTTTTAAGTTTTTTAACTTGTGTCTAATTAAATCTCATTTGTATTTTGCAAATAAAATATGTTTAAATAAAAAATAACTTTCTCCACCCAGAAAAAAACTTTTATAACAGTAACATTTCTTCTCCTCAGAAAAATGAGTTTTCCTGTCCTCTGAGCATGTGTAATAATAGTAACTCTAACCAAAGCCGAATCAACATCAATTTTGTGTACAACTCGTACAAATTTTACACCTTTGTGTGCATACGCTTCACTGGTCATTTGTCTGATGAAGGTGACAGTGTACATACCATACTAGTCATCGAAACGTCACATAGAAACTCTTATTGGTTGTGTAAAAAGAACTTTTCATAATCCATACTTCCAACCTGAGGAAAATATTTAGAAAAGAGTAACTCTTACCATTGACCCCGTCGGCCACGAAGGGGTGATGTAGCAGGTCCGGCCATGACAGGCGTACTTTGGGGTTTTTGGTGAGCAGACCCTGCAGGAAGTCCTTGAACACTGGTGTCATGTTCTTAGGCCACTTGACGGGGTCCTTGATGATGAGGCTGACCAACTGGAAGATGCTGTTTGTGTAGAAGGGCGGGGTTCCCGTGAATAGCTCGTACAAGATACAGCCTAAAGCCCTGGAAACAGAGTGATTAGAAAAAGAAAGTGGATTTGATTGTGTAGGCCTATTGTAGACATAGATAACCAACTGGAAGACGCTGGGTTTTTTTTGGCAAAGGCAGAGGTTAAGTAAGATGTTTAATTACCATATACATTCTGATCAGCTTATTCATTAAAATTAATTGATGAAATGTCTCTGTTGTATTAAACCTTTAACAAGTTTCATTATTTAACCTCATTGTGTTGGAATGTGTCGGATACATTCAAACACATCAGAGGAACAGGAGAAAAATATGATGTCTCAGCAGCAAAACCTCAAAGTTGACAAATATCATTTCTTCTGGCAGCATATGCCCCAATATATACTGAATCTCATATTTGGTGTGTGCAAAATTATCATCGTTTTTAAGAAATGTTGTATAAATTTTTTTCTTTGTAAGTTGTTCCTTTTTCGATCTAATAAACAATTCAATGCCCCGATAGTAAGGAGACATGAAGGTTTGTTTCCCTTGGTCAGGGGATCTTATTTCCCTCAGGCTTTGCTGTTGACAAATATGATTCACATCAAGAAACATTCCCTCAGATCTCCCTATACTACTTTGTGGGGGTTATAATTGTATAGCATCACATTTAAAGATTTTCTTTTTGCAGTTTGTATAAGCTTGCATAATCGATAATATTTAAATAACTTATTACTTTCTTGTATCACCTTCTAAATGAGCTATTTTATCGTTTATCCCTGCCAGGTACGTACCAGAGATCGGCTGTGTGGTCATAAGGTTTCTCCTCAACCAGTTCTGGTGACATGTATAAAGGTGTACCCTGTAAAAAGATCAAATTCCTGAACCATGAGGATAACAGCAATAATATGAGACTGCTTTTTAAACTATCAAAATTTCTACAGCAATCAAATGTTAAGAACACATCCCCAGTGACATTTCTATAGTCTGATTAATATGATAATATAAAAAAAAAAAACATTTCTTAAGACTCTTTTTGTTTTAAAAGTTGCTTTTTGCAGCATCACATTTTTCAGTTTCATTTCCGCAACAAATTTCTGGGTCCAAGGTTGCATTTCCAAATCCCAGATGAAACAGTTCAGGTGGCGCAGAAATATTCCACAATAAACTAACACACTTTGACTGAACTGTAGGCTGAGCTAAATTTGCACAGTTTCGGAGTCAAGAATGATTTGTTCTTCTTTCACATGCCCACTAAGTTATATAATTTATTCTAAAATGTACATGTGAATCAACCTTGTTTGATAAAGTTATAATGTAAACTAGAAGCAGTCAGCATTTTAGTTTCGGTCAGGGACGTCTGGACCCCTCAATTTGCACATGCCAAATATTCCTGAGGTCAGCCTCATTTCAGGTCTGAGCCTGTGGTAGACCCAGGTTTAACCAAACACTTATAGTTAGCAGTCATAGTGCATTTAGTCACCAATAGCTCTAACTTATACTCACCATTAGAATGGCAAGACATGCAAGATTTGTGTTTCCAAGTTTCTCAAGACGCAAATTATGTGAAACAAAACCGACATGAAATAGAGGTGCCATTACGTATCAGAGGATAGGAAACATTGTTTACTGCGATTAACTTATTCAACCCTGAAATTTCACAATGAACTATTCAAACCTTTGAATAGGAATAGATGAAATGTGTCTTCAGGGGTGAATGAGTTAACAACAACAACATCAGGCATAACAGTTTTGTCCTAAGACAAGATGACAAGTTTCGGTGAACAGTTACGATATATATATGTGACCCTGACCTTGATCGATGTGAGTACTAGCGTGTTGAAGCTCATGGCACGTGCGAATCCGAAGTCGCAGAGCTTGATGATCCCGCCCTTGCCGAGGAGAATGTTCTGTGGCTTCATGTCCCGATGGAGGATACGATGGGAGTGAAGGTAATACAGAGCCGACACCAGCTGACACGCTATCATCTTTACCTGGCAAATAAAGTTACAGAAATTCGTAGAAAGACGCACATAGAAACCTGTGAAAATTAACAATGATACCACAACTGTGTACTGATTGGTTGTGAGAATTTTTCCCTATTTTTACACAGGACTTGTGTTAGCTGAACGCTGAATGTTTCTGCTTCTTTTGACAATTAGAAACAGTGAATACAAATTTAGGCTATGTATTAACTTCAAGCTAAATAATGTGGAAGGGAAACTTTCGTCAAGTCAATTATTCACATTTCGCCAGACATGAGTAAATCCCTGTTTGCCCTGTGAAAGAGTGAATAAATTCTCCCTTGTTGCGCGGAAGACAAAAAAAGGCAAAATTAAACTACAGCCAAAATTTCCCAGCATACAGTATTATACTTTGTACTCAGCAGGCTCAAGCTCTTTGTAATGTCTTACAATATATCAGAGTTGCTTCATGATAACTATTATTCACAGTAAGGTCGTTGATAGCATGATCAACCAAAACACTTATTTTATTACACAATACCTCATTTAATATTGTCATCCATTAGCATTAGAGATTTTGAAAAAGTCTGTTATGATTTAGATAAAAAAAAAAAATCTGTGCAGTCAGTGTGGGCGAATCCCACAGGAAAAGTGTAAGACCATGCCAGGGTCCATATTCATGAAACTGTTCTCAAGCTCAAACATGAATTTTGTGCTCAAGCCCTATTTCTTGTTTTGCAGGTTATGAACAACTGAAAAAATCTTATTTAGTGATTTGGGAAAAATTTGAGGAGACTTGACTTAAAGTCGAATACTGTTTTCAACATTTACATTAGACTTTTATGATAATCTTACATGATTTAAGTGAGTTACAAGAAAGTTTGAGCACAGAAGCCATATGCATGCTTGAGCATATGAACGGTTTCATGAATACGGGCCCTGGACTCAAATATCTGTGACCAAAATATACATTCCTGATACCGGTAATAATATTTACGGTAAACCTCCAGTCAGTTAGAACAAATCAAACAAATATTGTTGAACCTGTTCAAATTAAATGTAATTGTAGCCGCCAAAATAAGCGTGAGTTTGAAATATTGATCATTTTGCAATGGTCTGTCAAGCAGGTAGATGCATATTTTCACTTGCCTACAGACTAAAGCTGATGATTATTCTTGTCTTAGTGTACAGTCTATGCTCACAACACGTAAATGAAAAGATCTAGAAGAGATTGACATCTACAGAATAAATCTAATGTTTATCCTTGCCTTATTGTACACAGTACATGTACGCTCACAACACGTACTATGAAAAGATGTAGAAGAGACTGATATCATATATATAGCGACCAGTTTACCTGTTCCTCGGGAAGATTTCCATCATCCTCTAAAATCTGAAACAGTTCTCCTTCTGCATAGTCAGTTACCACAACTACCTGTTGAAATACAGAAAAAATCATTTTCTTAATTCTATAAGGAGCAATTTTCATGTATATTTCATTTTCACTTAAATACTGACATTGTAGAAATATTAATATAAATATAAACTTCATTCCTTTCACAATAATTATGAAACAAGTTATGCCTTGGTGAAAGGCAGGTGCGCTACCTGCTGCCGTACAATAATCATCATCTTACAAAAATGAAGCATGGCACATAACATTGCTAATGACAAAACAGAGACAATTTTCTATAAAAAGAAATCACAGAAAAAAAAATTGTCTGAAAAAAAAAATATTTGAAAAATGTCTCAGCCTGATAAATTTCCTCATTTAATTTTCAATTTACAAATGTACGACTCGTAACAAAGTTAATACTGTATTTGCTGTAAAAAACATACCTCCCTTCATAAGTGCCCCTCCAGTTTTTGGGCATTGTATATATATGTATTTTACATCAGACACTTCAGTTTCACGATTGGACAAAACTGTTTTCCAGTGTCCAAAGGAAAAACAAGTATGGAATTATAGCTAGGAATTTGTCTGACAGGTGCATATCAGCAACTTACACATCTTATATTTGTTATCGTAATAAGCGCCCTCCCCTCGGCTATTTTTTCAAGTGCCAAAATAAGGGTACTAATTAAGGCAAATAAGGTAAAGGATATACATTTTTGTACCTAGAAAAAAAGAAAAAAAGAAATATATACACACACTACTATGTCACGTTCAAAGAAAAGTCGGTTTTGTATAAACTGTTTACCTCTTTATCTGTTTCGAAGCTGTCCAGCATTTCTATGATGTTGCTATGATGTAGACCCCTCATGATGTCGATTTCCCGGCGTAGATTTCTCAGCTCTTTTTCTGGCTTTCCAACTTTGGGTATAAATTTTAATGCCACCACCTACAGAAAGGTATTCATATAATCTGTACTTTTTCTGATACAATTACTGTAAATTCATCCGAGATTGGAAATCACACACATATTCCTGCCACAGATTTCATCAATCCCTAGACACTAATGGGATTTATTTTATTTTTTTAATTTAAAATTCAATGTGAAATATTCTCACATGATGTGAAACCACATCATCTTGATTTTCTTTCTAAATAATGAAGGAAACATCAGTGATTTTTGTAGAATTTTTTCAGGCGAGTCTCAAATATCTTTTTAAAAAATATTATTATGAGTCCCATTAAAGAAAGATGAGTACTACACGGAGAGTAGGAGTCTATGACTCAAATATTGAGTCCCAAACATACTGTAAATTATGAACTATTGATAACCTTTACGTCAATAACATGTATGATTATTGTTTTTCGTGGTCTACTAAATCTATAAATATATATATGTAAACAAAAGTTGATAATTATTTAAGACAACATTGCAAGATATAATCAACTGTATGATAATTTATGCGAATACCTCAACCAATATATATATTCATAAATCTAAAAAAAAAAAGCTAACCTCTCAATCATGAGTTTTAGACAGAATGAGATGCACAAGGTCATAATCTTTATTTATGTCAAAATTAAAGCGTAAGTGGGTCACAACTTTTACAATCATATATAGGTAAACCAACCTGCGCCTTGTATTTCTTCCTTCCCTTGTACACCTTCCCGAAGGATCCTTCCCCGATAATTTCAAGGACATGATAATTGTCCATGTTGGAACTGTTTCCTCAGCTCTTTGTCAACTTCTGAAATGAAATTATAATGTGAGAAATAGAATTACATCCGTTTAAAACTTATACAGTGTTTTCCTTTTGGTATGCTATTGTATACATGTGTCTTTGGAGAAGTATATGTATCTGCAAGTTGTATTCATGTCATGTTCTGCATAACCCAGTTTTTATGCAACACTAAATATCATTTACTTGTAGTTCTTCATTCTGTAAAAATAACAGTGAATAGGCAGAATATTTAATAACAGTCACCAAAAGTTGATTAGTTGATGGTGCTGTTCTTTTTCTAAACTTATTATTGATAAGTCAATCAGTACTCTTTAAGAAACAATAATTATATATATAAAATAATATAGTACTAATTAGTATGAAGCGGAACTGGACTGGATTGTGTCTTCAGTCTGGACTGGGTGTATCGCCAGTGACCAGGTAGCTCATTTGGTTAGATCAAGCGCCTGTTTAGAGTTTGTAGATTGCGGATTGGAATTTCTGCATTGCTTTTTTTCTTGCACATTATAACAGGTGTGCTATTTTGTAGAAGATTATGGGATATGTTTTGTTCTAAATGTGTGGAGGGTCGGCCATCGGAGATTGTCTATGACTAAACTTAAGCTTTGTTGTGGTATTATTTTATCCTTGTCATGATTGCCTTTTTCATGTTTTTTTCTATATATGGTTTATGTTGAGTGTTGATTAATGTGATCGAATCAGGTTTTGGGTTATTAGCTTTGGTGTTATAAATATTCATAATAATAATAATAATTTGAGGTTCTTATAAACCGCTTTTTCACAACCTTGTTCGTAGGTCGTCTCAAAGCGGTTCACAAATTATTATCAGTGGTTATAGGGCCTTTGCAACCAGCCAATATCTTTCTCAACTCCCTGGGGAGCATACAGCCAGTGCTGCCATTAGGCGCTCACAGCTACTCATTTACAACACAGTGCCGTGCTACTCAAACCTGCAACCCTTCGGCCACGTCAGCCCGGAGTCCTACCACTAGACTACTGTGCCTTCATGCATTGGTATGTTAAGTTGTTAACAAAATCAAGCCCATAATTTTATTTCTGAGGTTGCCAAAAAACATTTATTTCTGTAAAATTGCAAAGACCATTATGCAGAAACACTACTATGGGATACAAGGACCACTCCTTAAATGGGCACGTTCCTTCCTACAAAATGTATGTAACCGGCTAACCGCCAATGCGCATAGTAGTGGAAGGTGAATTCTCCAAAGAGACCCCTGTTATTTCCGGGGTCCATTAGTCCACGGTCCTCGACCCATTGTTATTTCTTGTCCATATCAATGACCAATCAGATTCTGTCAAATCACAAATACGACTATTGGCGGATGATTGCCTGCTATACAGTGTCATCAGATCTATTAGCGACCATACAATACTTCAACAAGATCTCAATAAGTTGGAAGAGTGGGCCCATATTTGGGGTATGAAATTTTATTTTTAAAAATGTTGTTCTTTCGATAAACAGCAAATATTCACATTTCTATGACCTGAACAACCATATCCTCAGATCTGTATCCAAAAACCCATACCTCGGCCTTATGATCTCCGAGGACCTGAAATGGAATACCCATATAAACAGCATCTGTATCAAAGTCAGTTCTACACCGATAATCATACGGCACACCTTACGACACAGCTCAGGAACATGCAAGAAAAATGCTTATGTACATTGTATCTCTTGTTTTGTCTACACTGCAATGTCGTGTGATCATATGGGACCCCTACACTTAAAGCTTGAACAGATCCAGAGGCGAGCAACACGTTTCATCTGTGGGGATTACAGGTCTAGGGAAAAGGGGCAGTGTTGAATCGATAATAAAGGATCTTAAGACCTAAAACTAAAAACACTGCAAGAAAGGCAGACGGAGTTACGCCTAACATTTCTATACTGGGTCAGGTTGAGGGGCTTCTAATTAGTGCCAGCGTTTACCTCCATCACACCACATTACCAGTCAGTGAAACAACCTCAAAACAAATAACATATCCAAACACCAAAAAGATTATAGAGGACATTTATTATCATCGTTAAATATATTGTGAAAGACCATCAGACAATCCCCTCCAAGTGGTTAATTAATACACCAGCATAATCCATCAAGCATATGTTAACGTACAGAGAGCCTTCTGACCATAAGAGCATGTCGGGCAAACTGCACTCTCACTCATCCGCCGCGTTAGTGTAGTGCCAGGAATTGGATTTCGGCGACGTACACATTCGGATTCATATTCAGAACAGGATAGCAAAAAATAAGTGTAGCCGGGGTCGGGTGGGGGGGTCTTGGGGCGCCTTTTGGCCTTGTTCATCCTAATAAATCACCTGATTCCCTTGAGATGACGATGATGTCTCATATTTGTGTGTCGTGAGGTTATTGCAGTAAAAATGCATCGATACGAAGATGCAGACTGATTTAACTGTGTTCACTTATTTAGTGGGACTTAGCAGACTGCAGGAACAGGCTTGAAAATTGGCATTCTGGAATCAACAGGTAAATTAAATTGGTGTAATTTAAAAACTGTCAAGCTTTATACAAAAATATAGCATGCGTAAAGCAAGCGATACACGTGCTTAAATTACACACTGTCATAGTTACCTTAAAATGTACAGATACTGAGATATCAGTCCATGTTTTCGTTTGTTTACTTCGTCGTCGTCTTTGAAGTCGCCGCCATTCTTTGAACAAGTGCGCTTGCGTGACATTCATTGCAAGTAAAGCCAGCCTCTTAGTCTCGATGTCACATAAGTCTCAAACGAAAATTATTATTTGCTTAGTTGTATACATGTATAATATAAATTTATATTTAATAAACAATAGTTTTAATATAAAATATGATTATTCCCGTCAAGACAATTTGATACGAAAATAAACCAATTTTTAAACCTCAACATTTCAAAACAATATGGAGACGGAAAGTGCACGTGGGGAGGAAGAAGCAGGTGCCTGTGGTCAATCTGGGCCCATGCCGTCGGCTAAGGGTTCTAGTGATGAGCGTAAGAAACCCACATGCATCATAGTCCTTGGCATGGCTGGGTCTGGAAAGACAACTTTTGTCCAGGTAAAATATTAACGCTGTCTTGTCTTCAAAACGGATAAACAGAAAGTAGACTATTTGGTCCTACAGAGAAGTTAGACCCATGGCTTAATCTAAAAATGACACACATTTCTTATCTTTCCCAGGGTTTACATTGGAATCATTACTTTAATAAACACAATTAATCATTAAGACTTCATACATTTCATACACTTCATACATTTCGTTATCAAAAGAGTCTTGCTGACATTGGTTAGAATGACGTAATGCTGGAAAGCCAATTTTGCTACTAAAGCAACATTATAGTATAAATATTGACATTCAAGCATATCTTAAGCCATTTTCAAACTGATGTCAACAACTTAAGTTTGTGGTCACATTAGTGGACATTAATTCACTTAATTTACATAGGGTCAAATACAATTTGCCAAGTGCATTGTAACACAATTTTAAATTACCAGATCAGCCTTAAAGGCTAAAGACTTTAGCCTTTGTCAGAGACATTTTCATCTCTCATGTACAGATCTTATTATATCAATATACATAACACACGTCAATCGACGTTTAATCTTAGACGATTTACAAACTTTCACTAAACTACATAATTAATCAATTATTCTCTGCACATGCATGTCCTTCGGGGGAAGGTTCGTTTAATTATAACTATAATTTTCATGTTTGAGCAAGTTTTATTTCTAACAGAGCTGATCTACACAAAAAAACCAGCAATAAATTAAAGTAGCCCAACAGCTCCTTTAGATGTATCAAACAAGGACATTTAAATAGAAATCCCAGTGTTCAGAATTCCCTCATTAAATGCAGAAAACTGAAAAAGAAATCCAGAACTCTGTCTTCCCCTTTTCCGCTTTTGAAATGTATGCCTTTAAACGAAAAGCAACAAACTTTAATTTGAGTTGATCTTGAACCAATGGTCCTGGCAGGACTACCACCTTTGACTTTACTTCTGAAAATAGTTGTGGGTAGCCAGAGAAGAAACATGGCACAGTAGCTTGTTAGTGTCTTTTTACTGACGATGCTAGATGTACTGTAGGGCTGTCACAATATACCGGAAAACAGGTATATCGCAATACACTGGTATATCATATTGTACCACAATACAGAGATGAAATATTGCTGACCTGTATCGCAATATTTTTCAAAAGCATATTTTTATGTAACTCAGCTTGGTGTTTGAACTTTGCAAATTACTACAAATTCTAACAGATATATGCCAATAAGCATTAAGCAGGCTTTTAATGGTTTAAATTTTGTAATCAATGGTTGGTTTGACAAAAAGTCTTTAATCTATGTAATCTACATTGAGCACATCCTTCTTATGACAATATATCGGGATACATATCGCAATACATTCATTCCTAATGTGTAGTATACCTTGAAATTTTCACTCAGTCAAATTTTCCCCCCTCAACAGTAAAAAATCTATTTTCGCCAAATATTAAATCCGTTTTTCACATTTGATTACTATTCAGATTATCTTGTTTACAAAAATGTGCTGTTTTGATAAATTCACCCTCATTACAGAGGGCAAACATTAATTCTGCAGTGAAAATGTACAGTATATTATACAGTAATTCTCTTCAGCTGAATTTTTACATTACTTGACTAAAAATCGGTATCCCAAGGTTTGACTCCTTGCAGAGCCACTTTGGAAAATGACAGTGATAACAGTGGTAGCCACCTAGGCTATTTGTATGATATAACTTCCACAAGAATGAATGGTTTTGCAACAGCAGAATTGAAGGCAAGGTTTTACATTGGTGATCGAGATAATATTGAACAGGGTTAATATTGAAATAATATTAATTTTGCCCTTCATATTTGATATTTTATCTTAAATTACAAACATTCGCTGTATTGATAAATTGGCTAACATTACAAAGGCAAAAAGGCGAAAACTTCCTGATATATATATATAGTAATATTATCTAAAGCTGAATTTCTACATCACTTGACTAAAAATCTGTATCCCAAGGTTTGACTCCTTGCAGAGCCACTTTGGAAAATGACAGTGATTACAGCGGTACCCACATAGGCCATAGGCTATTTGCATGATATAATTTCCTCAAGCCTGGATATGGTTTTGCAACAGCAGAATTGAAGACAATGTTTTCCCCTGCCGTGAGAACGTGCACATGTTACAGTGGTGATTGAACCTCCTAGTCACTTTCACACAAATGCTGTAAAGTACTTGTACATATCATATATTTTTGTGTTGTCCTTTGTATTCAGAGAATCACTGCGCACCTCCATGCAAGAAAAAGGCCCCCCTATGTAATCAACCTTGACCCGGCTGTTTTAGAAGTCCCCTTTCCTGCCAACATTGGTGAGTCTGAAGTGTGATCGATGTACATTGTATAGGAATAATTCAACATATTCACTGATTGGAAGTACACTATTAAATTTAAGGGTCCAAATTCGGGAGTCTCCCTCCTAAATCAGGTGTTGGCAAGTATGGGGAGTGGCAAAATAGGAAGATAAAAGGCCTTGTGTACACACATATATTCATTTAAATGTTTTTCGACTTTTTAACCTACATTGTTAGGTTAATGCATTTTTGTAATGGTTTTTTTCCATATTGTATATATAACACATGTTAATGTAAGAATATAACTTTATTTTCAGATATTCGAGACACTGTGAATTACAAGGAAGTTATGAAACAGTATCCTTTTAAGAAAACCTACTTCAAGTTGATACTAGAACTTAGGGGTATATAATTTTCCTCAGTATACTAATAGCAACTAGCCAACTACCATTTTGTTTCCCTTTGATTAGTCTTCAAATGTTGCAGATAATATTGAAATTTTCAAATGTTATATGATTGTAATAATCTGATCATAATATGATATGATAAATGATATTTTTAGTTGGACTATGAGCACAATTTTGTGGTTTTTTTTTAGTAAATTTCAATTTGCACAAATTATTCTCACTTCAATTTATACATGTAACTATGTATATTCTGATTAATATCCTTTTCAATAACTAACATCAAAATTGAAATTAGTAGAATCTCTTGAACCTTAATAATGACAAACAGCATCCTCGATACTACATGGGTTATGTTCACTTTCGCTCTCTGACTCCTGGAATATGTTGTAGCAAAATCGAAGGCTCAGTGTGCGCCACCTTGTGTATGAGACAAGAAGACTAGTTTGGTCCTTTGTATATGTATATGTATATCAAAAGAATTATTGAGTCACATAATGGTAAAATTGACTGACTTTGAAGTCAGGTGTCACTGACCTCTATAATTTTCGAAGGACAGGTCTCAGCCTAGGGGTTGGACAGTTGTTTTTTTTGACACATGCGTTAGGTAACACAGGTGTTTTTTTACCTGAGTCCAATCAAATAGCTAGATACGGGCCTTCAATTTTGATATGACATATTCCAGGGGTGCAGAGAGCAAAAGTGGTCGGAACCCCTGTAGTATCGAGGTTGGACAAACAGGTACTCTCTAGGATTTTTTTGTGACAAAAAGACAGTGTTTAGGACCTTAACTGTAATAAACAGATACTCATTAGGACCAAACGGAGGAATAGTGACTTCGTTGAATTTGTTTGCAACCAGGTTTGATCAGGTATGTGTTACAACTTATTCAGTGGGTTTCTGTTCAATATTAGCCATACTTCCCACTTTACTGGTAACTGAAATAATTGTCACCATATTCTTAACGCATTAGTCTTCAGTTACATTAAACCCGAAATATTCCAGAAAGGAAAAATAATTACTGCTTTCGTCTTTTTGACGTGTATTTATCTTAGCAATTCACTCTTGTACGGTTGTAAAAATGCTTATTTGCGATTGATCTAGAAAACTGTATCTACTAGGGGAAAATTGGGACAGAAACGGGGAAAACATATTACAATATAAGATTATATTTACAGGACAAATTTTACAGATTTGTATCGAAATTTTATTTACTGAATTGAAGTCATATTGAATTGACCAGAGAGAAACAAAAATTTGGGATTGATACAACTAGCTCAAGTTATAGTGATTGAATTTCTTTTGATATACAGGTGATGAAGTTTTTGGAGCAGAAATCTACAGAAAATGAGTATGTACAATTGTAAAATAATGTCTTTTGGGGGGGCGGGATCAGTTTTAGATGCAGACACAAATTTAAACAAGCATATTATTAGCTCTTATGCCATACCTTGGCGTCCGTCGGCCATACGTCAACAATTTCTTCAAACGACTTCTTCTTAAACACTGATTGGAATTTATCGAAATTTGACTGGAAGCATCCCTAGGTGGTGGGTATTCAAAATTGTACAAATGGTAGGGTTGACCCCTCAGTGGGCTGAGGGGCGTGGCCAAAAGGGGTCAATTTGGCTATATTGCTTAAAAGTAACTTCTCCTCTGGAAATAAAAGATGGATATCAACCATCTTTTACTGGAAGCATCCCTAGGTAGTGGGGATTTAAAATTGTACAAACGGTTAGGCTGACCCCCAAGGGGGCTGAGGGGCGGTGCCAAAATGGGTTATTTGGCTATATTGCTTTAAGCGACTTCTCCTCTGGAACTAAAAGATGGACATCAACCATATTAGACTGGAAGCATCCCTAGATAGGGGCCAGTTGGGATTAAAAATTGTACCAATGGTGGGGCTGGTTCCCCAGGGGGCTGAGGGGCGGGGCCAAAAGGGGTCAGTTTGGCTATATTGCTTAAAAGTAACTTCTCCTCTGGAACTAAAAGATGGATATCAACCATCTTTTACTGGAAGCATCCCTAGGTAGTGGGGATTTAAAATTGTACAAACGGTTAGGCTGACCCCCAAGGGGGCTGAGGGGCGGTGCCAAAAAGGGTTATTTGGCTATATTGCTTTAAGCGACTTCTCCTCTGGAACTAAAAGATGGACATCAACCATATTAGACTGGAAGCATCCCAAGGTAGTGGCCAGTGGGGATTAAAAATTGTACAAATGGTGGGCTGACCCCCCATGGGAGCTGAGGTGCGGGGTCAATTTGGCTATATTGCTTTAAGCAACTTCTCCTCTGGAACTAAGAAATGGATATCAACCATCTTTTACTGGAAGTATCCCTAGGTAGTTGGGATTCAAAAGTGTACAAATGGTGGGCCTGAGGGGCGGGGCCAAAAGGGGGCAATTTGGCTATATTGCTATAAATGACTTCTTCTGTAGAACTAATTGCACTGTATATCAATCATATTTGGTTGGAAGCATTCATGGGAGGCAGCTGGGATTCAAATTTTACAAGTAGTGGGGCTGACCCCCATGGCTAAAGAGTTGGGCCAAAAATAGTTTATTGCTTGGAAATGGTTGAGATCCCCACCCTATAACCATATATACAATTGCTGAGTATGAAGAGAAGAATGCACATATGCTTCCAGGATTGCCCAGGGGTCTGGCCCCACCCTTGGAGACATAGTCCCTGGGTCATAACCTTGACACGGTTGAGATCCCCACCCCAAAACTGTATATACAAATGCTGGGCATAAAGAGACGAATGCAGTCATGATATTATAATTGATCCTTGGGTCTGGCCACAACCCTAGGAACCTAGTTTCTGAGTCACACCTTTGAAACAACTAGTTGAGATCCCCATCCCATAACCATACATAAAATTGCTGGGCATTAAAAATCTAATACAGATATGATACAAGGATTGGCCTTTGGGTCTGGCCCATTCCCTTGGATCTTATTTGGAGAATATTTTGCCATGATTACTTTGATATCCAGATGAGCGATATGGGCCCTCAGGGCCTCTTGTTAACAAAATTCATAGAATTGTTATGTTTTGAATGTTTAATTTTAAATAATGATAAAGGTCTAAACTGAAATTTATGGACGGATAAAAATTTAGTTTTGTTGATATAAGGATGCTTCATATCATGGTACTCCAAGAGTAAATTTTATTTCATTAAAAGGTAAAAATGATCATAACAGACTTTCTTGTAAAAGTATTCACAATCACAGAGAAAGATGCCAGCAAAAGAGCATGTAATTTTGAATGGCTGGGAATGTTAAGTGGATTGATCTATCTTTGATTACAGGTATATCATATTGGACACACCCGGACAGATAGAGGTGTTTACGTGGTCTGCCTCCGGAGCCATCATTACAGAAACGCTGGTAAGTTAGTCGTTATCATCATACATTACACCAGAAATGCTGGTAGGTTAGTCGTTATCATCATACATTATACCAGAAACGCTGGTAAGTTAGTCATTATCATCATACATTACACCAGAAATGCTGGTAGGTTAGTCGTTATCATCATACATTACGCCAGAAACGCTGGTAAGTTAGTCGTGAGCATCATATATTACACCAGAAACGCCGGTAAGTAAGTAGTTATCATCATACATTACACCAGAAAGGCTGGTAAGTTAGTCGTTATCATCATAAATTACACAGAAACGCTGGTAAGTTAGTCATTATCATCATACATTACACCAGAAACGCTGGTAAGTTAGTCGTTATCATCATACATTAAACCAAAAACGCTGGTAAGTTAGTCATTATCATCATACACTACACCAGAAACGCTGGTAAGTTAGTCGTTATCATCATATATTACACCAGAAACGCCGGTAAGTAAGTCGTTATCATCATACATTACACCAGAAACGCTGGTAAGTTAGTCATTATCATCATTCATTACACCAGAAACATATTGGGAATCGAGGATCATAAGCAACTTCCCATCACACATGAGTTTGGGTTTGAAATTGTTTTATATTTACTTAACGTGTACACAATTCTTATTTTTTCTCTCTAAATATATAGACTGTAAAAGTCGAGGAAGGGAACATCAAGAGTTTTTCCTCAGCCATGAATTTGTGACATATCATTTGGCTGTTGTTTTGGTCATATTTAAGTATATGACACATATTATGACCTACACCAGTATATCAGTTGAACAAAAAGTCTGTCGTCAATTCAAAATCAGACTAAGAATTGTTTTAACGTTTTTACTAATAAATTAAAGTGTGTCAAGGTTATAGTGAATAGGAATAGACACCAATTTTATGATTTTAAATATTTGTGGTAAATAAGATTTTGTACTAAAAATAACAATTACTGGTTTATTCTTAGGCTTCCACGTTCCCCACTGTTGTTGTGTATGTGATGGACACGTCCCGTAGTGTAAACCCTGTTACCTTCATGTCCAACATGCTGTACGCCTGTAGCATCCTCTACAAAACCAAACTGCCCTTCATCGTGGCGATGAACAAGGTAAGAGTAATGGTTTTCCCCACTCTGTCAGGGTTCCGTGGTTACTGGTATGTGTCTTGCATGCATACTGTAGTGAATTTGTTATATTTATTATATATATTTACTCACATGGCATTGCCACTTCATAATACTTCCACATTCAGGTGGCATTCATATAGCTGTAATGCGACATTGGATACCACTGACCCTTCCTAAACCAATGACTGTTCTTATCATTGAACAAGCAGATAAAATAAAGGCTTTGTTTGAAGAAGAAAAAATGTTGAATGGTTAATAGGCGATATGAATGCCAACTGGACAAAGGAATGGAAATGGCAAATCCAACATGCAGAACTATTACGCTTCATTGAAGTTGCCTCTGTATAGTTTGATTTCATATTGACTATGAATGGTAACCTAATCAGCTCATTGCTTAGATATATAATACAACTTTGGAGACAAATCAAAATTAAAAAACGAAGCAAAAACTAAAAATAATTTATGTCACCAAAGGTTGTCTTAATTTACATTGTCAACTAATCATACATGAATTGGAGGCTACAACAGTCAAAATTTAGGAGTCTTGAAGATTATAATCTATCATAATACTTATAATCAGCTTTCAGTTAGGAGATAAGGTATTCTAGTTGACTCCAATTCAAGATTTGAATCATATTTTTCCAATAGCTAGTTCCACATAAAGTTAGGCAAAATCCATGATGGATGATAAGAATTTTTACTCTCAAATCATTTGTTTATTACTGCTGAAGTTCCTATTGTTTGAACATGATTAGTTTCGGTAATAAGATTTATAATATTCTCCAGATTGACATTGTGAATAACAGTTTCGCTGTGGAATGGATGAATGACTTTGAAGCATTCCAGGATGCGCTGGAGCATGAGACATCTTACGTTTCTAACCTGACACGGTCCATGTCCCTGGTGTTGGACGAGTTCTACGCCAACCTTCATGTGAGTCAATACAGCGTGGAACACATTCAGGATCCCTTTACCACTGCAAAAACTATCTGCACATAGAAAACTGGGGGGGTTTTGGCATGATTATAGCTTTGATCAATCATTTCTGAAAAGAAAACCATACCTTGACGGACTTTTATGGAAAAACAATAAATTTATGGAAAAACAATAAAGATGGAATAAACAAAATATAAGATCAACAACAGTGTTCTGAGTGTAGAAGTTGAGTGGGGCAGCTACACCAGGTTTCTTACCCAGGACTTCAGATTGTTATACTAACAGAGTGAGCTACCTGGTCAACAGAAGTGTCCTAGGTCAACTGTGCTACAGTTTAGTTATATTTAAAACTAAATTTAGAGGAGGCTACTGTATATATACGAAACAAACAAAACAAAGAACACCATGCAGTGGGACAGAGATCCTTAACACCAGCCATCATGAACTTTTTTGAATATGGATCAAACATTTTTTTGATAAATTTACACATTGCTTTTTCCTTAATAATCCTGTTATATACTGTGATAACTCTTTTGTGTAATTTTGATAAAAACCTGTTTTAAACAAAAAATTGATATTGCCTAAAATTATAAGTCAGTCTCATGTGTGTACTAGTAGGGCCTATCTAAGCAGTCATTGTATACCCATTTTTTTTACTGCAGGTTAACTTTCGTAAGATGAACAAAAAAATATAAAATAGCAATTGATTGTGAAGGGCAAACATTCACATCAAACTAGTATGGTTTCAATGGCGAAGGGCGAAAATATATGGATATCTGTTTATAGCCAAATTTGTTCTATTGTAGAATGTTGGCGTGTCCTCGGTGACAGGAGAGGGAGTGGAAGAGTTTTTCAAGCTTGTGGGTAACGCAGCAGAGGAATTTGAGAAGTAAGTCGGTCAAATTCCATTATCCGTAATCTGTTTGGTAGCTTTTTTTCTTATGTTGTACAGTAGTGCCAGTATCATACTCTGCAGTGTTGACAAAGGGACCTCCAACTATGAGCCCTCGGATAATTGGTAATAAGAAATCGTCCCCTCCCGCAGCATAGTTTTGAGGTGGTTGTTATACTGGAATCATCCATTATCCATCATCCTCGATATCCAAGGGTTACTCTGTCATCCGCTCTCTGCACCCCTGGAATATTTCATAGCAAAATTGAAGGTACACAGGTAAAAATTTGATTGGTCTCTTATTAAAAAATTACCCAGACCAACTGCTTAGGTTAATACCTGTCCTTTGAAGATAAGAGAGGAGCGACACCCGACTTCAAAGCCAGTTAATTTTAACTGTTACGTGACCGACAGATTCTTTTGATGTACATCAAAGATCAAGCTAGTCTTCTCGTCTCTTCCACAAGGTGGTGCACACTGAGCTTTTCGATTTTGCTATGACATATTCCAGTGGTGCAAAGAGCAAAAGTGAGCATAAGTATCGAAGATGGGTATCCATCGATTTGTCTGTCTAAGGACAGAAGTTTGTCCAGATCGCCGCTGCTCATCTTCTTAACTTAATTAACTGAAACCTGGTACTCATGATCTTATACCTTATGTCGTTGTGAACTTTCAATATGTTTTTTATTCGGATGACTTTTTGGGAGTTATGTCCCTATTATGTTAAGGTATACAAAGCACTGTTACTAAACTTCTGAGCCAATATCTATAAAACTTTGTACTCATGATCACTAGTAGCCTAAGGAAATTTTTGCACTTGCAGTTATTTTAATATCTTCTTTGCCAATATTTATAACTTGATCAAATGACTGGTACCTTAGGTAGTTGAGCTCATTTATTTTTTTAGTTCAAATATCTATATAGGAGTTATCTCCCTTTTCTGGTATTTTTATGTGCCTTACAGTTTAAGTTGCATGCATTACTAATGATGGAATAATCCTCAATTAGGTGACAATGCTGTCAGAACATCTTCAAAGGAGGTAACTCTGGTACACTTATTACAAGTTAACCATAACATATAGCCTTAAAATAAAAATGACAAATTTGGGGAAATCTATTTGATTTTAGACTTTAATTAATACAGCTTTGTTATTTGTTTCTGCCAGAGAGTACAGGCCCCAGTATGAAAAACTGAAAAGGGAAAATGAAGAAAAGGATCTTACGGAGCAAGAGGAACAGTTGTCACGGTTACGCATGGATATGGACAAGGACAACCCTGGTAAAGATAACAGTACTTTTATCCTTTATATTGAAATTGAAATTCAAACACGCCTGAAACAAAAACAAAACAAAAATATATGAGTTTTTCTTTAGAGTGTGAATTCTTCAGCCATGTCTTCTTTTCTATTTTAATCTTTTTTTGCTTGCTACCAAACTTTCAAAAAAAAAGCCTTGTGTAACACTCTTTTTCTTCAGAAAAATCTCATATAGCAAACACCTGTTTAAGGAAACTTCCTGTTGGTAAAGACTGATTCAGACTGCCTCCAGCATTTATAACTCACCTGGCCAAAGGAACATGGGCATACACTTCCAACCATCAAAAAACGGGTGTTTTCTGTTATGTTGGCTAAGACATTGCTTATATATTATCTTTACCTTTATTTTCCAGTTCTAAAGAAACAGACCGAGGGTATGACCATCACCCCGGGATTGATTGAGGATGACAGTGACGAGGAGGCCCATGACCCTGACATGATGGATGGTAAGGGCAGATAACTGTGTTTCACAATGCGGGAAAGGGTCAATAACTCTTATGTCAAGAGTTGTGTGGAAGATGGAAAAGTAAAAGTTGGCATTGTGAGTTGTGTATGTACTTCCGGAAGTTTTACATTCAATACAAGTCTGACCAAACATATTCAGAGCAATTTTGAATGGCAAAATCTTGTTAGCCTACATGTGTGGCAGATTTTAATTGTACATAGGATTAAGGTCGCCTTTTAGCTTCAAGCTAGAGGGAATTTCCCTTCAACTCAGTGGTAGAGCGTCCGACTGGGAACCTGGAGATCGAGGGTTCGATCCCCGGTGGAAGCACACTATTCTCTTTCCTGTTACACATGTATAAAGCATTTTGTTTTTGCATGAACTTGATGGTTAAGTTGTACATTTACAACCAATATTTCGCTATGGTTGTCTTTAAATTAATACGCCCATATAGCCAGTGTTCAGCTATACAATGTGATGGATAAAATCTTCAAATTAACACATTAATATCTGTTGTTCAACTGCAGTCATTTAAAAATTTCCAAACTCAAAGATGTGATATTTTTGCAAATACATTTGTATAAAATGATTTATTTCCATTGCCAACTCGGGAACATTTTCTTCAATAACGTTGCACATCTGGAATCTCTTTTCAAAATAATGAATGTCTCAACAATTTAAAATCATCTGACAGCTGTTGGTCTTTTTCAAAATAACATGAGTCACCATAGTCACTTTCAATATTCAAGTTGATTTATATTTGATAGATATTATTTGTATTTTGCTTTTGTTTTTTGTCGACCATTTTATGACCTGTCCTGTGTTGTTGGGCCATTAAGCATGTGATAATAATAACAAAAATAAATGTTTTGCAGAGGAAGAACAGAGGGAGCATGAATCTTTCCGGAATTTTATGCAGAATCAAAAGAGTCGACAGCGAAAAAAACAAGATACAGAGGCTGTTGACAAAACGTGACGAACATTTTCACTGAATTTATAATTTGTTTGTAATTGTCTTTTAGCTGTGCTATTAAAATGTGCTACTACTCATTGTTAAATGGTGCCTTTGTTATTTTTATTGTCGATAAGATTTTGTTTTGTTCTTTATTCAGAAGGAACAAATCAGAAATGTGTCCATGTTATGGTTCTTTGTGAATAGGATTCCTGATAACAAATTAAATCTGTTTGAATTACAATTCAGAAAAAATATGTTCATGTGAAGTAATCGATTAACAATGCTTTCATGCCTACCAAGTAAGATCTATTTATAAATTAACTTATACTGCTTTCCTCGCGCCCCAGTAAGAGATACGTCCCTATCATCTTTACACCACTTCCCTGGCGCCAGAGTAAGAGATATATCTCTATCATCTTTACACGGCTTTATTTGCGCTGGAGTAAGAGATTTGTCTCTATTATTTTTACACGGCTTTCCTGGCGGTGAAGTAAGCGATTTGTCTTGTTTATCTTGCACTGGCGCCGGAGTAAAAGATATGTCTATCATCTTAACACAGCTTTTCTGGCGCCAGAGTAAGATGTATCAATTTCACACGGCTTTCCTGGCGCCGGAGTAAGAGATATGTCTCTATCATCTTACACTACTTTCCTGGCGCCGGAGTAAGAGATACTTTTTTATCATCTTATACTGGCGCCGAAGTAAAATAAACTTCTTCCTGTACAACGTTTAAGTCGACCCTGTCCACGAGCACAGCAGAAAAAAGCATGGATATTTAAGAGAACTGTTCAGCTTTTACAAATTTGGAGGACGTTCTTCTACAATATCTTGTCCAGTAATCTTATATAAATATGTGAACTCATTTGCAGTTAGGTTCAGTATTGAGCATCTATTCTTAGAAAAAATAATTAACGAAGTCGGCTTGCTGCCTGAGTTGACTATTTTCCAATATTTTTGAACATAGAGTTATATATTCCACCATGATAAACATATGCTGATTATATGTATTCTACCAAGTGAAATGTCACAATGACTTTTTCGTGTTTACCTCAGTGTCCATCCGCCTTTGATAAGCAAGGTGATCTTGATAACACGTGGGGGTCAAGTCTCCCTTTCACAAGGACAATAAATGAAAAGTATGACTGTATATCGCTAAACACACAGACATCAGTATGAAACAAACGAGTATTTTATTTATATATATACACATATTATATGATGCAGTACACTGCAAGGGCCTGTATTCATGTATGTGAATTCGTGCATAGGTTGTCGCTTAAAAAAAAAGTCGAGGTCGGGTTTAAGAGCGGTTAACAAAAACCCAGTAGAACTCACCAAACGAAGTATAAAGTATAAATATCAAACTTAGCTTAAAAACTAAAACAAATCGGGATAACTTGTGGCATGAAATACACATTGTCAAATGTCTAGGATTACCTTTTCCCGACTTTGATGCCCGGAAGTGATGTCACATTATTTTGAAATGCTTCCATTTTGATATCTGTCAATATTTACCACCGTATGGCATTGTCACTATATACCACTGCCAAATTCAGTTGGCATTCATATAGGCTATGAATCCCATGGACCGATTGTCAATATTATGACGTCATAATTGTTACGTTGGATACCACGTACTGACCCTCTCCGGGTGATGGCAGTTCTATTCATTGAACACGCACACACGATATATACATTATATAAACTAAATGCTGAATAACAATAAATCCAATCGATTTTTTATGAGATGAACAGATTCCAAAAATGCTAAATATAAGTATTGAACTGCTTTCAGTTGGTATTCACAGGCAATATGAAGTCCAACCAGACAAAGGAAAATCCGACATGAAGCGCTTTGCCTTTGTCCAGCTGGCATTCATCTTGCCTATGAATGCCTACTGAAAGCAGTCCAATGCTTAAATGTTACGCATGGCATTCAGCTTCTAATAGCATCGGCAATACTTTCACGAGGAACTGAACTTATGGAAATATGGTCTTTATAAGTGGTTGTAAAATGTAAATAGATCGATGTAAAAATATAAGTCCAAATTCTATGTAAATGATCTCTTGGCTTGAAACGACTCGTTGAGTTGAATAAATGACGCCGCCACAAGCATTGTTGAATAGACAAGAATAACACACATATATATATATATATACGTATGCATGAATAACCAAATTAGTCATATACCTTAATTTGTCGCTTGCCCAAGCATTATGTAGCTATGAGACCATTTGGTATCACATCGGTATATTTACATTTCCACTACAAGTTCATCTGTAAACATTATCAAGAGAAATTGCGCTCATAAAGCTATGAACGCAATTAGATCAGTGTCATTTTGAAACTTCTCCTCCCGCTTTGAATACCATTAGGCAACCGTTAGAAGCAAACGTTATGTGAAGTTAGGCTGTTCCAGGAATCTCGCTTGCACTGACGACAAAGACACTACAATATCGAAAATATAATGGCATATCTGTATTAAGGTCAGTAATAACTAAACGTTAAAAATGAAAATATAAGGATTAAACGTTATTTTTCAAAGTTCATACCGATATGAAATAGAAAGATGCCGTTCAATCCTTATGTGGTCATGCTTTGAGCGATTTTATTTCATTGGTCGCCATTTCGTTTTGTCGCTCCAAAATAACTGAAAAGATACTTATTCAATATTACGATGATTAAGTTGTTTTGTTTCAAGTGGACGGTGTAATTTCGAAATTCAAATACGAAGAGTTCGGTACTATCGGTGGCAACTTCCCTTCAGTTATTTTTTCCTCCATGTATGACGTCACTTCCTGAATCGCCATAGTGTCACCGTCTCGCTTTCCTTTGGCCATATTTATATTTGTTTGGTCTACCGGTGTTCGTACTTTAAGAGATCTGGGAGTTGAGATGTAACTGAGCTGTTCGTTGACCACTGGAAAGGTTAAACATTTATCCTCTATTGAAGTATCCATCTGTTCCATTGAGAGCAAGCTGGACTGGTTTCCATCGGTATCATTTCCCTCGGTACTGTCTGTCACTATGGAGATCGGTTTCAATGGACTACCTTCACGCGACCGTTTCTCCAATTTGGCCGTGTAACGTGATGCCGTTTCGTTATTGGATATGTGATCTTCAGCTTTTTCATTAGGTAATGCTTTTTCACCGTTTGATTCAGGCGACGAATGCGCAGGCAGTTGGCGTTCTCTGTGGAATACGTCACCAGTTGGACGAGGGTTTCCTTCAATGGGACGCAAGGAAGGAGGCTTTTGTCGAAGTTCTTCGACAAGTTCATCAATTTTTGAATCCTTCCACTTAAGTTTCTTCCTGAGGTGCTCTGCTTCCACTCGAAATGTCGCAATCATATTACGAATTAAACGTAAATCTGTTGTTTGTGGCACTGAGCTCGAGGATCCCCCGTTGGAATGACTTCCGGCGCCGAAATCTCGTAAGCTTTCGTTAAGCCTCTCCAATTCGTGACATACCGCTAGTTTGTTTTTGTTCTCTTTTTCAACGTGCTTCCGAACTGTCTCCGAAAGCAGTTCAGTTCGAGACACAGGTTTTTTGAGAATGTTCAAAATGGTGGTCCTTTCGCTGGAGCTACGGTCAAGCGTCTCGGCATGCTGATCGGTTTTGTCCATCAATGTTTGTATATTTCTTTCCAAAATGGTCAGCATTGCACCAGTGACGTTTTCTTGTGTTTCTACCGTCGCACTGTCGTGTAGAAAGTCTTGAATCCATCCATTTAACTTGTGAATCTTGATGTTGACCGACGTAAACTGCTCTGTAAGTCTCAGCATTGAGCTGTTATTGGCTGCGTTGAACCGTGATTGTACCCCCAACTCCTGTTTAAACCTTTTCTCAGATTCCTCTACTTCCTTCAGATGTATTTTCATATCCAATCTGTTCTGTCTTAACTCTTCCTTAGCTGTAGCTAGATCGTTCTCTGACTTGCCTACCTGGAAACGGAACAAAACAACAGTTAGCTCGCTGAACTTAGCAAACAGCATAACAACATAAGTTAAAAGTGAACGTTATATACAAGCTAGGGATTATGAAGGAGAAGTATTGCCTGACTGGCAAGAACCCAGGGACGCGTTAACTAGTGGCCAGTGGCTGGATAATTGACCGCCTGCACGTTACATTTGGTGGCAGAGTCGAACTTGGTCGATGGAAGGATGGGTGACCGCCTGCATGTTACATTTGGTGGCAGCGTATAGTGACTATCCATGTTGTACCATGTACAGCCAGTTCCCGGTGGTTAGGGAAGGTACATATGTACACAGGGAGGACCCAAGGGAATCCCCAGACTATATCTCGGGACGAGACTTTTCGGAGGGTAGAATGTTACCGCGAAGGAATAAGAGGGGAATTTCCTGTGATACGGTATAATCCGGGGACATGCTAGCTGTTTCAGCAGCGTCGAGCTTGGTCGGTGGATGGATGTAAGACACAAGCATTTCATTGCACCTATACTATAATATACTATGTCGAAATGAATAAAACTCCATCATACAGCTCTTTAGTCCTTTAAGATTCCATCGGCAATGCTAGGGGCCAAAACGGGGGGAATCCAAATTGGTCTAAATCCCCTGAATTATAATATATGAATTTCAAAAGTTAGTGCAGTACTGGTTAAAACAAAATTGATCATGAGTAAAGAGTGTATATTGTGAACCGTTTCTCAAAAGTGATAATTGTGGAAATCAGCGTTACGGCAAACCTACGTGACTAAGATTTGTGTTTGTTTGGGGTTTAGGACGGGTGCCCATGTTGGACTCTTCCGTGTCCCCTTCGTAGACGACACTGAAAGAAACCCCAAGACTCTACAGAGAGCCCAGCACTAGTCGCCTTTTACGACACACATGCAGTGGGACACAGCAGGTCTACTCTTTGTTTATTCAATGTCCCCAAACCGGAAAACAAGGAAGACACCACCCCCGATTCTGCAGGGGGGGCTATATTAGTCGCCTCTTACGAACATGCAGTGGGATAGAGCGGGCATATTCTTTCCCCCGGACCTGCATGTGTTACGAGAGTACGAGACTAAGAAATCCACCAATAGTCTATATCTTGCAATCAAAAAGTAAAAATACACTGTTGTGAATGAGCATAGTATTTGAACTGTAATGTATGCAGCTATCAATTAGTAAACATTCCGTTTCGTTTGAAGGAACATAAGATAGAACATGACCAACCTGACGTTTATATTTTTCCAATTTTGTCCTCAATTCCCTCTCGTGCTCAAATTCTAATTTTCGTGATTCGAGAATCTCACTCCTCTCCAAGGCGGAATTCACCCATGCATTCACGAGCATCTTCTCTTTTAGCTACAAAAGGGAAGTGATAGACATTTCATATCAGAGCATTTTTTTCAGTGTTTTTTTCAATGGTCCCCGTACCTCTGCAAAAAAAGAAACCATGCATTCGAAACCTATTTTTCCGGCATGACTTAAAGTTTGATATATCATTTTTGAAAGGAAAAGTACATCTAGAGGGACTTAAATGAAATCATAACAGAGATGAATTAAACAAAATATAATCGACAAACATGTCCTGAGTGTGTTTTATTCTGTGGGGCTAGACCTGGATTCAAACCCTGGACTTCAGATTGTTATACTATCGCTGAAACCGATTGGGCTACCTGATAAAAACGGAAATGTCCGAGTTCAAATATTTTACAGTTATATCACAACGGAAGTTAACGGGAGGTTACGTTATATAGGAAAAAACGGCAGTGCAATGGGACGGGGAACCTTAAGGACGTGAACCTTAAATCTCAAGAGAAATGTAAACTACGTATTTGAGTTTTTGACATTAAAAGGTCGTCTACAGTTTACCTGACAAGGTTTGTTCGTTGTTTAGTTGAACTTAGTGAATTCACAATGGTATGAATACAATATTATCGTGAATACAACATTGCCCCCAATAGGCCTATATCTCTGTACACTTAGGGTGGGGAAGCACGTGGTCTTTGGAGGATATGACTTCTGCTTCGCATAAGGTTTGCTTTTTTTCTCCGCCATGTAACATTGAATGATGCCAAACCAAACCACCCTGATACGGTACACCAATACAACCCCGAAAATAGCCATATTTATGCAAGTAATTACTTGAATAATGCCACGAAAGTAATTATAATATAATACCACAAGAGAGCCATATGTTACCTTGTGTAAAATCAGAATAAATTTCGGAATTTAACGCATTTTATTCATCCAGAAATGAAAATAATACACGATGGATGGAATATTGATAAAGGGAGATAATTAATCTGTATGAGATGATGAGTAGCCGCGTACGTACCTTTGACTCCAGGTGATGATAAAAGGAGACAATTAGTCGGTGTGAGACGTAGAAGAACACGCGTACGTACCTTTGTCTCCAGATAATGAAAAAGGGAGATATTGGTCGGTATGGGATGTGTCAAGGTAACGATAAAAGGAGATAATTGGTCAGTATGAGACGATGAGAGCACTTGTACCTACCTTTGTTTCCGGGAAATGGTAAAGGGAGATAATTAGTGGGTATGAGACGATGAGAGCACGAGTACCTAACTTTGTCTCTAGGTAATGATAAAGAGAGATAATTAGTCGGTATGAGACGATGAGAGCACGTGTACCTAACTTTGTCTCCAGGTAATGATAAAGGGAGATAATTAGTGGGTATGAGACGATGAGAACACTTGTACCTACTTTTGTGTCCAGGTAATATTAAGGAGATAATTAGACGGTATAAGACGATGAGAGCACGTGTACCTACCTACCTTTGTAACCAGGTAATGATAAAGGGAGATAACTAGTCGGTAGTAGACGATGAGAGCACGCGTACCTACCTTTGTCTCCAGGTAATGATAACGGGAGATAATTAGTCGGTATAAGACAATGAGAGCACGTGCACCTACTTTTGTCTCCAGGTAATGATAAAGGGAGATAAATAATGGGTAAGAGACGATGAGAGCACGAGTACCTACCTTTGTCTCCGGGTAATGATAAAGGGAGATAATTAGTCGGTATGAGACGATGAGAGCTCGTGTACCTAACTTTGTCTCCAGGTAATGATAAAGGGAGATAATTAGTCGGTATGAGACGATGAGAGCTCGTGTACCTAACTTTGTCTCCAGGTAATGATAAAGGGAGATAATTAGTCGGTATGAGACGATGAGAGCTCGTGTACCTAACTTTGTCTCCAGGTAATGATAAAGGGAGATAATTAGTCGGTATGAGACGATGAGAGCACGTGTACCTACCTTTGTCTACAGGTAATGATAAAGGGAGATAATTAGTCGGTATGAGACGATGAGAGCACGTGTACCTACCTTTGTCTCTAGGTAATGATAATGGGAGATAATTAGTCGGTATAAGACGATGAGAGCACGTGTACCTACCTTTGGATCCAGGTAATGATAAAGGGAGATAACTAGTCGGTATGAGACGATGAGAGCACGTGTACCTACCCTTGTATCCAGGTGATGATAAAGAGAGAGAATTAGTGGGTAAGAGACGATGAGAGCGCGTGTACGTAGCTTTGTCTCCAGGTTATGATTTAGGGAGATAATCAGTCGGTATAAGACGATGAGAGCACGTGTACCTACCTTTGTATCCATGTAATGATAAAGGGAGATAATTAGTGGGTATGAGACGATGAGAGCCCGTGTACCTACCTTTGTCTTCAGGTAATGATAAAGGGAGATAATAAGTCGGTATGAGACGATGAGAGCATGGGTACCTACCTTTGTCTCCAGGTAATGATAAAGGGGGATAATAAGTCTGTTTGAGCCGATGAGAGCTCGTGTACCTACCTTTGTCCCCAGGTAATGATAAAGGGTGATAATAATGCTGTTTGAGCCGATGAGAGCGCGTGTACCTACCTTTGTCTCCAGGTAATAATAAAGGGAGATAATAATCCGTTTGAGACGATGGGAGCATGCGTACCTACCTTTGTCTCCAGGTAATGATAAAGGGAGATAATAAGTCCGTTTGAGACGATGAGAGCGCGTGTAACTACCTTTGTCTCCAGGTAATAATAAAGGGAGATAATAATCCATTTGAGACGATGAGAGCATGCGTACCTACCTTTGTCTCCAGGTACTGAAGAAGCTTGGTTTTAATGTCGTCACTGATGTGGTTGAAAATAGCCGGAAATTTGCCAAAAAAATCTTCTGATCGAAGTAGCTTTGTATCCGTTTCTGCAAATATAAACAAAAAATTATCTTTAATTTCTAAATCAACTAATGATACGTATTGAAATGCATATTTTGCATTATTGAAGAGGGTTCTTAATAATGTCTTTTTTATTATTTGATCAAATTACAACGGAACTATCTTTAAACAATTATATTAGCACAGGGACCAGAAATATATGCTATAGGGTCATTACTATTGGCATTACAAAATGTGTCTTGTCCCTGTGACGGTTCAAAACGAACCCAAATAAATTAACGCTATGATTGAATGAGCTTGTGAAATTGAGTGAATAATATCGGTAACTAATAACTGGCTGGAATCATTAGTAAATCATTTTGTGGAAGCTAACATTATTATTTTCTTATATGAAATGTAGCTGACTACCTTCTTCATATAGATGGTCGGCGAGATAGGCGTGTCCTGTTAGGCTCAAGACGTGACGTAACTTCCGGTAGGAATCGCATCCACGAAGCTTTAAAGTTTTGAGAAGTCGGCGATTCCTTTCCTCTCTTGATTTTGCGGACTGGAATTCAAAAATCAATATATATTTGAAATATGTGTATGAGTCTGTTAATTACATGAAAGGCAAATTGTCGATAACAGTTCAAAGTCAGTATTAGTCTGCTAATTATAAATGCCTTATCATAAATACTCTCCATTTTCCACTTTATAGATATATTTAAATAGAATAATGTTATCGCATCATACCACATATAATGCCTATACTCAATTCTATAAAGGTATTTTGAAAAGAAAAAAAGTGTAATTACATACACTCTCTTCATAATTGTGTATGACCTGTACAGGATATTAATTCCATGTAGAAACTGTCAGTCTAGAATGGGTTTCTTTTCACAAATCCTGTACAAGGTGATGTCATATCCATATTACTCTATTTGATTATTTTATTTCATTGCTATCATTGTATAAATGTTGTTATAATATGTCTATAGCTATGAGCCACAAGGCTTAAAGCTAATAAACAATACAAAACAATACAGTACAATCTTATTGTCGGTATAGTGTTGCCAGTGTTATGTTTTCACAACACACAAGACAGGTGCGTTATAATCAATTACCAATAGGAAACCGGAAATGATTCTGCTAGGAAATTCCGCCAAAGACATAATTGAAATTTCCATGAACGGATATTAAGTCCCGAATGGTGTCAATTTGAAATATTTATGTATTTATGTACATAAGTTATTGCTTAGCATTAAGACCTGATAATATTGGACACGTTTCACCTTGGGCATTAATTCTTAACCGTATATTATTGAAGGTTGCATTCTTGATAACCCTAATTGAACACCAGTGTGCTAGCCACAGGCTTCAACATGTAAGCATGGTCACCTTTATTACGCAATTCAAATACACAACGTTACGTATTCAATGTTTACAAATAGACTTATAGTCTGTAACCACAGGGGTTACGCTCACTCTCGCTAGCGTAACGTACCCCGGGGTATCGAGGATGAGTTGGACAGGTTTGGTTTGGTTTAATTTTGTTTAACGTCCTAGTAACAGTCAAGGTCATTTAAGGACATGCCTCCATGTGTGTAGTGTATGCGTGCTTGCGTGTGTGTATGCAGGAGACAGATAATGATGGTGTGCTTGCCTCCTTGTGATAGAGCGGGTCTGATACCGACTTTATAGTGCTATCTCATTAAAATACCTGCTGGAGGCACCTAGCACAGCATTCCGCCCGGTAACATTATACGGACAACGGATGAACCAGTTGTTACCATTCCCCTTAATGCTGAACGTTAAGCAGGGAATAACAACTACCATTTTAAGGACTTTGGTGTGTCCCGGCCTGGGAACAGAACCCATTGCCTTCCTCACCTGGGCGAACGCTCAACATTCAAGCCAAATGTGAGGTGTTGCCAAGCAATGCGCTAGGAAATAAAAGGTAGCTAGAAGTAGAAAGAAAGATAAAGATCCCAAATATTGCAATGGGTGCAGCAGATTTATCTTGGTCGCTTTTGTGTCCCCTAAATAGAGGACACCAAATCAAATCCCCAATTCTGCAGGGGTTGCCGCATTAGTCGCCTCCTACGATACATGCATTGAGTAACAGCAGAGCTGTATTCTTTTCACGATCCCCCACATGCAGGGTTGGACAGGGTTTGCACATTCGTCGCGATCCGAATACTCTATCTAAATAAACGTAAGGTTACTTACTCATACCTCTGCCGAAATTGTAACTTTGTATTTGAAAATATTTGTTTTCTGAAGAAAAACAATACCCCGAAAAAACTTTTTTTTTTAAATAAATATGATTGAAGATGAAATAAGCCACATAACTCAACAGCAGTGTTCTAAGTGTTCAGAAAACGCTACTGGGCCAGACCTGGATTGGTGCTCTGGGTCTCCCATTATTATTCTGCAGCTCTAAGCAAGTGTGCTACCTCGCCAACTGAAGTGCCCTTGTCTTGCTACAGAAAACGAATTTTACGAGAAACTACTACACGGTGTTGCGGTGGGATTCTCAGGTGTTTTGCCGAACGTGGGACAAGGATCCTTAATATTATTCATGTTTATGCCAGAGAGAATTAAAGACAAAGTGATAATCTCCATTTTAATGAGATCTTAAGATATGAAGGAACAAAACTGCACGCCCTATCACGTGACCTGCTAGCACCACGAAGGTCATATTTGTATTCGATCCTATTACACGGGGAGGTCACGAGCCGTAAAATCTCTGTTTACACAATTATTATATATCACTTGACGTGATTGATTACTCTACTTATCTGTAGGAACATAAACTTGTAAACACTTAACGTAGGCTACGAGTCGTATATCATGTATGGGTCTGCAAATTGTAAATACATTTAAAAGTTTTAAGACAACTACATTTCACTCGATCGAAGAACTTTATGTTACCGTGAAATTAGATACTAGAAAACAAGGCCTAATATCGTAAAGTATAGTCGTCTTATTTTACCGTAATATAAAGATTATTTCAAAAACAACTTCAATACAATTTTGTCCAGTGTTTAAAGGAGTAGAGGCAATAACAAAACGTCAATGCACTTACGTATCTCGTATTGCTGTACGTTTCTCTTTAAAGCGAGGAAATATTAAGCGTCAAGAAAAAAATTAAAGTGATTGAATGGGTGTCTCGTTTTCTTAATATGATTATAAGGAATGCTAAATATCGCATTTATGCGTCGTGTTGACTGAAATATAACCACCCGTGATATTTTACGCATCGATAGTTCCATCAACGTGATTAATCATAATCAATATTAAAACCTAAACTGTTGGCATATGAAACGATTTTATAACCAAGAAGCTACGTAAAACATGAAACGCATTTTAATCGACATGAAAGAGAAATTCGAAATCAAAAGGTTTCGCTCTCAAAATACACATTACCTCTGCATGCTTGGCTTTTCTTATGACGAAATCGAAAGCTCGCGGTGAAAGCTATTTAATTGGTTCTAGACATCAAAAACTGACCAATCGAAATACGAATAGACAGTGGCGCATTGGATAACGCATTCGCCTTTCACCTGGACGACCAGGGTTCGATTCCCCGACCGGACGTGAAAAGGTAAGGAGTCGCTTGCCCGACCATGTGGGTTTTTTCCAGATACTCCTGTTTCCTCCCATCCATGCCAACAAGAGCGATTGATATAAGTTGCAATAACTTGTTTCAAAATTGTTGTAAAATAAATAAAGTCTATATTTCATTTAACAGTGGTACATGTGGTTTGAAGAACATCAACTAGCTAATCTGAGATCAAAGCCATTCGATTTTACCGTCATGCCGTGCGATTCATTTTCACGGGTAATCAAAGCATTGCTCTGAGCTCACATGTAAGCAGGATTCAGTTCAACTTGTACCATCCCAAAGGAGGCGAGACTTTGATCCTGATATGAGAAATCCATGGATACAGAGAAAATGTAAATAGGGAGCGAAACCTTTGAATTTCGAAGATGAACTTAACACAAATAAAGGAATTTGTGATACTTATTGCAGAAATAATTAACCGATAAATGGCTTTATGGTGTGTTTAAACGGTAGGGGAGGTGATGAGGAATAGGGGATGTGTTTGTGTGTAGCGATGGGAGGGGGTCGTAGGTATGTGTAGTAGGTGTGTAGCGATTTTCAAACTTAAAGGAAATACTTTTAAAATGTTTAAGCTAACAATGACGAGGTTGTTTACTAATGCCGTACGGTAAACAAAGACTAGACAATTGTTGACAGAGGGTTTATGTTTGTATTTACCAATCACTGGGCGTACTATTTATATGATACAGTTTCTAGATACACACGACATCAAAACAAAGCCGTTATATTGGGTATATTATCGACAATGTCTCGTTTAAATAGTTTCGGGATTGAAACAAACTTCAACCGTTTGTTTTACTTCAAACACGAAATATTCGTATTTCAATATTTTCAAAGATGGCGCCCCACCAGCTTCCGGTTTTTTGAAGCACTGTTTTTATGATGTTCTTGTTGCTATAAATTAAAGGTGGTAAATTAGAAATAGAGATATATATGAAGCACTGTAATCTCGGTGTCAGACTGTGCATGTTTTAAACTTCTGTTTCGATTGGGTGTAAATTTATCAGGGCTACAAGAATCCCAAACGTTGTTATCTATTTATGTGGTTGAGGGGCGCTATGGATAATGAACTTGCCTTTCGCCAAGGCGGCCGGGGTTCGATTACCCGGTTGGATGTGGAAAGGTATGGGGGGTTACCTGCTCGACCCGTGGGGTTTTTCCGGGTCCTCCGGTTTCCTCCCAAATAAAGACCCTGTTTGCTACCATTCGGGCCAAAAAAAGTGATTAATATGAAAGTTGAAAGAACTTGTTTCACAATTGTTATAAAACAAATCATGTATAGTCAGTTAGTTAGTTAGTTAGGCTAATTAGTTAGTTATCGACAATGTCTCGAGTTAAATGAGAATGTGTGTATGCGTTCCACGGACAAAACCTAGGGCCATATTGCCTATGAATGCCAACAACTGAAAGCACTTCATTGCTACACAATTGTTAAATGTCATTTTGTGTTGTCAACACGTAAGAAATAAACAAGACTAAACTGTAAGCTATATAAATATTAATTGGATCATGAGTCTCATATCTATGTCGATGTTTGTGACGCCCTCTCAAGGCTAAAACTGCTGACATGAGTGATGACTATAATACTGAAAATGTTTTTATTTTAGCGGGCACAAATTTTAGTGCATTATTGGATTTTAACGGGTTATCGCATTAATGAGTTGGTGCTTCAAAATATATACATAATAAACCGATAAACGGTAACTTCAATTAGTGCACTCATAAGTTCGCGCAATATTATAAGCGCAAAAACGCTTGAATAAGATTACCGCTAAAATATGTACGTCTTAAGTATCACTGTTGTAACCATTCGGAACACCTCGCCCCGATTCCAGTTCCTTCCAACGTTAAATGACCGAATCGGCCGAGAAATTCCGAGTGTGTTGTAACAAGAACCGTGTGCAAAATTATATTGGTGTCTTCTTTTTAATTTCATTTATTTTTCAAAAACACCAAACGCATGTTTATGAAATTTATGGATACGAATCCTAAAATGATGTTTATAATCTAAAACATTAAAAGAAGTAACTTTGAAAAGTCGACTTTACTATTTATTAAATTAACTAATTTTCTAAACATCTGAACATATTCATAATATTTTGTCTAGATCGGAGGCGAAAGATACTTGTACTTTCTTTAAAGGATGAAGTGCTTAATACGTATATATTTACAGATTTGTGAAGTCAAAATCGTCCCAATTTTATCGGTTAAAAACTCACGAGAATTTAAATCTAGTTACTATTTGATGATTTTCATTTTTTTTTTAATAAATGAGCTTCAGCAAGTTTTATATTTTCAAAAAAAATCAAATGTAATTGGAACGATTTTATAATCTTCTATATGAAATATGAATAAATTATATTGGGACGATTTTTATATTTTTTTATTTTACGGTTACGCAGACAGTTTGCGGACAGCTATATGCGACCTGTGTATATATTAAGGTACATGCAAGATATATACAGACACTCTATGATATAAAGGCGATTTGTGTTTTAACAAGGTCAACTATCAGTAAAAAACGCGACCTGTGTTTGGTCTGTGTCTTTATGTCAATAAAATGATGTATACATATCACCAATGTTTACAAAAAAACTCACAGGAAAGACATCAAATGGATCGTATGGCACAGAGCTTGACGCCTGCGATAAAATCATTGATTTTTGTTCGAAAATGTACGTATTGTATTTGTTAAGGTTTAGGAGTCGTCTGACATAGATTTAGGCCATGTTAAATTTATTTTAAAAACTTACAGAAGATCTAAAAAGATTTCAAACGAGGAAGAAATTGCATGTGTTTACACACGTACGATAATTAATTAGTGTGTTGTGTATATACTGTACTCGTAAAATTCACCTCAATTAACTTGATAACAGTCCAACTTTATATTGATACATATAGCGCAATCACTTTGATATAGTATACTGATAAATTGGATCTAAAATTATTTCCCGTTTCATACGATTGTATGGAACGAGTTTAAACGAGTTTACGACATAAAATGTCAGATGGAATGTATAGCAAGCCAACTTTTAACATTTAACATTTAATCATGGAGCAATGTCGAGCATGTGGTTCGTAAATTATATATCTTAAACATATGTGACGTCATTACCTTATAAGGTATCTCGTAACTTTCTATATAATTCATCTATATTTTATAAGATTGCTTATAAAGAAATTTAAACAGCAAACCATATACATTATTGTATATATGTAGTCAATAAGATATACCATAAACAGATGAGATATATTGCATACTATGAATCTATCTTATGTAAATTAATTCAACACAGTTAAGGCATTAATTTTTAAAAATGACAACTTGGCTTGTCCAGGGTATGTTTTTTTCAAAAAAATACGTCGAATGAAAACGACATATTTTCATTGTGAAAACCTTTGACGTCGTCTCATTGTTCCTGTGACGTCATCGTACGTCTTAGCACACTGAATCGGAGTCTGAGTATATATTATATATATCCAAAAGTTATCAAAAATACTTCTTAGTGTGGCAATCATCAAAACGCCGATTTTTGACATTTCATGTTGACGGGTACTTCATATCTTTAATGATAATAAAATAATAATTCGAGGTTCTTATATACCGCTTTATCACAACCTAGCTCGTAGGCCTTCTCAAAGCGGTTCATACATTATTATCCGTGGTTATAGGGCCTTTGCAACCAGCAAATATCTTTCTCAACTCCCTGGGGAGCATACAGCTACCATTCAGATATGTGCTACCGTACAGATATTATACCATTTCGCCGCTCACAGCTAGCATGCTACATGTCTAGCACTGCCCAGCCACGTACTCATTTACAGCTGATTAGACTGGAACAAGCGTAGTAAAATATCTTGCTCAAAGATACAACACAGTGTGTTTTATGCATAGCTTACCTTAATATCTGTTACCATGGTGACAGGGAGGACATTATAAGATTGCAACATATCGTAAAACTCTGGCGTGAGAATAATATTCCGGACTAATAATTCCTTGTTCCTTTCAATAATGTCCTTCTCCTTTTCCTCCATTTTAGTTTCTCCTTGGATTATATTCTTCTACGACTTCTTCTTCTTTTTTTTTCACATAAGGAACTGATATCCTAGTATGGAGCGATGGCAGTTCCTTACCTCTGTTAATGCGTAGAAACTATCCTCCCTTTTGTATTTCTACAAGCCATGATCAGTCATACGATATTCGAATACACGCTTACAAAATATTCACGTTAGAGTAATATTAATCACTCCAGGGGGAGTATGGCGTCAAATCGTATGTCAAAACACAGAAAGGTTTATACAAATACCTTTGGCTATATAACCCATCAGATAAGGTTATAATTTTTACTTGTTGAAAACGAAATGGTCAAATTTCATCTCGAACTATTCTATTTAAAATTCCATTAGGAATCAAACGAACAGCACTTGATAGCCATATCTCTTTCTCGAAATAACTTGTCATTGAAGTTTAAAATTCCTTCATTCAGCCCAAGTAGGCCCGTCGGATATGAATCTTAAATTGCCTCTATCAACAAGAAACTTGAGTCTGTTGTACACGTATTGGTACTAATGTGTTTAGAGTGGATATTGAGTGGTCACAACCGTGAACGTTCCGTATGTGTGACAATCCCGATAGCCAGGTGACGAGTAACAGTGATCCGGACGGATCTCCGTTTGTTTTGTGTTTATAATACCTCCATTATGACTTGGGACGCGGAATCCGGACGGTTCTTAGTTTGTTTAGTGTTTACAATACCCCTAATCATTAACATGGCCGAGTACGATGATCACACTTGACATGGAGGTGCGATAGCGTAATTGAATTTGAATTCGGGGACCTGTTCACGACCCCAATAATAGAGTACGGTATATCTAACATACACAACATGTTACCGTCTATATTACTTCTTTGACCCATAACATACAAAACAAAGTTTAAACAAATAGGTTTAATGCCCTAAGCTAGGGGAGTTTTATGGCAATACTTAAAGGTTTTATAATATGTGTATGCTATTTAAATTGGTAAATAAAAATAATCAATATGAGTTTTAAAATAAGTGTCACTCAATATATTTGTGAAACAGACAAGACATGGGTGCATTCTTAGTACTTGACCTCTTATAAATAAAGGAAACACGTGACCTAAAACAAACATTTTAAAGGGTCTTCTATAATCAAATATTAAAGTTATCTTTGTATCACATGACAGATGACCCATGTCCTTTTTTGGGTTAAAAGAAGCCATAATGACAAAGGAAATGTTTTGACAGGCGAGTTGATTGGGACATTATGACGGTGATTTGTTTGGGGACATTATGACTAATGATTTGATTTTGGACATTATGACGGGGGATTTGTTTGGGGAAAGTATGACGAGTAATTTGATTGGGGACATTATGCGGAGTGATTTGATTGGGGACATTTTGCGGAGTGATTTGATTGGGGACAGTATGACGGGTGATTTGTTTGGGGACATAATGACCAGTGATTTGATTGGGAACATTATGCGGAGTGATTTGATTGGGGACAGTATGATGGGTGATTTGTTTGGGGACATAATGACCAGTGATTTGATTGGGGACATTATGATGAGTGATTTGATTGGGGACAATATGACGAGTGATTTGTTCGGGGACAGTATGTCTAATGATTTGTTTAGGGACATTTTGTCGAATGGTTTGTTTGGAGATATAATAACGGGTGATTTGATTGAGACATTTAGACGGGTGATTTGATCGGAAACATTATGACGGTAGAGTTGTTTGGATAAAGTAAGACGGTTGTTAGGTTTGGAGACATGGCGTGTGATTCGTTTGGAGACATTATGATGGGTGATATGATTGGGGACAGTATGACGGGTGATATGATTGGGGACAGTATGACGGGTGATATGATTGGGGACAGTATGACGGGTGATATGATTGGGGACATTATGACGGGTGATATGATTGGGGACATTATGACGGGTGATATGATTGGGGACATAATGACGAGTGATATGATTGGGGACATAATGACGAGTGATATCATTGGGAACAGTATGACGGGTGATATGATTGGGGACAGTATGACGGGTGATATGATTGGGGACATAATGACGAGTGATATTATTGGGGACATAATGACGAGTGATATTATTGGGGACATTATGACGGGTGATATTATTGGGGACATTATGACGGGTGATATGATTGGGGACATTATGACGGGTGATATGATTGGGGACATAATGACGAGTGATATGATTGGGGACATAATGACGAGTGATATTATTGGGGACATTATGACGGGTGATATTATTGGGGACATTATGACGGGTGATATGATTGGGGACATTATGACGGGTGATATGATTGGGGACATAATGACGAGTGATATGATTGGGGACATAATGACGAGTGATATTATTGGGGACATAATGACGAGTGATATTATTGGGGACATTATGACGGGTGATATGATTGGGGACATTATGACGGGTGATATGATTGGGGACATAATGACGAGTGATATGATTGGGGACATAATGACGAGTGATATTATTGGGGACATTATGACGGGTGATATTATTGGGGACATTATGACGGGTGATATGATTGGGGACATTATGACGGGTGATATGATTGGGGACATAATGACGAGTGATATTATTGGGGACATTATGACGGGTGATATGATTGGGGACATTATGACGGGTGATATGATTGGGGACATAATGACGAGTGATATGATTGGGGACATAATGACGAGTGATATTATTGGGGACATTATGACGGGTGATATTATTGGGGACATTATGACGGGTGATATGATTGGGGACATTATGACGGGTGATATGATTGGGGACATAATGACGAGTGATATGATTGGGGACATAATGACGAGTGATATTATTGGGGACATTATGACGGGTGATATTATTGGGGACATTATGACGGGTGATATGATTGGGGACATTATGACGGGTGATATGATTGGGGACATAATGACGAGTGATATGATTGGGGACATAATGACGAGTGATATTATTGGGGACATTATGACGGGTGATATTATTGGGGACATTATGACGGGTGATATGATTGGGGACATTATGACGGGTGATATGATTGGGGACATAATGACGAGTGATATTATTGGGGACATTATGACGGGTGATATTATTGGGGACATTATGACGGGTGATATGATTGGGGACATTATGACGGGTGATATGATTGGGGACATTATGACGGGTGATATGATTGGGGACATAATGACGAGTGATATGATTGGGGACATAATGACGGGTGATATGATTGGGGACATAATGACGAGTGATATTATTGGGGACATAATGACGAGTGATATCATTGGGAACATTATGACGAGTGATATGATTGGGGACATAATGACGGGTGATATGATTGGGGACATAATGATGAGTGATATTATTGGGAACATTATGACGGGTGATATTATTGGGGACATTATGACGGGGGATATGATTGGGGACATAATGATGAGTGATATGATTGGGGACATAATGACGAGTGATATCATTGGGAACATTATGACGGGTGATATGATTGGGGACATAATGACGGGTGATATGATTTGGGACTTAATGACGAGTGATTTCTTAAGGGACATTATAACAGGTGATTTGTTTTAGGACATTATGACGGGTGATATGATTGGGGACATAATGACGGGTGATATGATTGGGGACATAATGACGAGTGATTTCTTAAGGGACATTATAATAGGTGTTTTGTTTTGGGACATTATGACGGGTGATTTGTTTAGGTTTATACACAACACACACACGAGTATAAACTGAATTGGCCTTCTATATTTACTTAACTACACAAATCAATAACCTTGCTTTACAATGTGATACAATGAACACAAACACTCGTACTGGTTCTCTCAGATACAGATTTGACTCGTTCATAAAACATACATGTATACAACAAAATAAAATATAACTGGTTACACCAATTCCTTATAACATATTATACATTTGGCCTTGGGGGGGGGTGGGGGGGGGGGGGATGTCAACTCTAGTTACATAAACAGAAGTACTGTTGTATTGAGAAGTCCATGTTGAATGATTGAAATATACCTAGCTAGGCGAGGCCTGAGCTGTCTTGGTAAATGACAAGGGAGGTAACTTCATATGATGGCAGCTAATAATAACCTATACAGATCAGAGAAACTTCAGCAATATAGCTATCGAACATCTCATGCATGCTGCAGGACAGATGTGTGGATTTGAGCATGAGTAGTTAAATGGTAAGGGGGATAACCCACTATGCTATAAGCTAATAGCCTTACGGATCAGAGAAAGCTTCAGCGGTAATGCTATCGAACCTCACACGTGCTACTGTACATGACGATAAACGGAGGTTCCACCTGAGTCCAGGCATAGCCCATGTACTATGGATCAGTCAAGACTTCAGCGGCAATACCAGATACGCGTTTGAACCGGTTTCAGCATCCGCATCTGATTAGCCTCATGCCTTGCACTTGTACTTGGCATTATGGGCTAAGTGCAAATAAAATGTCTTATATACACTGTATGCCATATTATGGCTATGATGACAACTTGGGGGTAAAAACAATACTTTATAAGTGAATTACAAGACTATAAAGTGTAAGTTACGTCATATAAGTATAAGTGACTGTTTATGTAGCTAGATGTTGCATGCACCCAATATATGTAATGATACATTGCAAATGAAACATGACCATATGTTGCTCCTGAATCACCAGTGCTCTATATGTTAATGCGATGCTAGATATCTATAAAACATATATTTATATATAAAGACTACAAACATAACGTGAATATATACATTCATACTAATACTAGTCAACGTTGCTACATACACTGTAATCGGTCTACCCATGTGTAATGATCAGCAATGCAACCGCTAGGAGTGTGGCGGCGATGGCTGGTGGAGACTGAAATTGACTGAGAGTAATAGATAGTCGGACACTCTCCTACGACTTGCATTGTCTAGTGAGCTACTGACGCTGATTGACTGTCACGTGACTGTACTGTCAAGTCTCCTAACGCTTGATCAGTCACGTGGTCTAGACTGAAGCTATATATAATTATGTATATATATACCAGCGGAGTATTCATTGGAATACATAACCACCTTCACAAGCATCATATAGGTACGTAGACATTAAACTAAAATATATAACATAGTATAAGTAACATTGTACTTTAGTGTTGTACATAAACAAATCTTATTAAGTATCATTTTATAATAAGATTTCCAGACATTATGAAAGGTGATTTGTTTTGGGACATTATGACGATTGAATTAATTGAAGACATTATGACAGGTGATATGATTAGGGACAGTATGCCAAGTGATATGATTGGGGACATTATGACGAGTGATATGATTAGGGACAGTATGGCAGGTGACTTATTCGGGGACATAATAACAAGTGATTTGTTTTGGGACATAATAACAGGTGATTTGTTTTGGGACATTATGACAGGTGATTTGTTTTGGGACATTATGACGGGTGATTTGTTTGGGAACATAATGACGAACGATTTAATTGGGGACAGTATGACGATGGATATGATTGGAGACAGTATGACGAGTGATTTGTTTGGGGACATTATGACGGGTGATTTGTTTGGCAACTTGGCTTCAAACCGCTACTGAGGCACCAAAATCGGTTCCCGAAGAACTTGATATATTGATAAACACTGCGAACCTTAGTGATGAGCAACTACTTAGGGTGCATCAGGTGCTAGGGAATTGGAAACATGCGTTTTTCACCAGCGCTTTTGATAGAGGATACAGGGACCTCGTGAAGCACACAATTGAGCTTTTAGAAGACCGGCCTTTTAAACAGCCGTATCGTAAGATACCACCCGGTATGTACGAGAAGGTCCGTCAGCACAAAAAAGGAAATGTTAGAAGCGGGTGTGATAAGAGAATCAAACAGCACTTTTTCATCGAACGTTGTGCTGGTTCGAAAAAAAGACGGTTCATTACAAATCTGCATAGATAATAAGCGATCCCGTAAAATATTCGTATATGTTGCCACGTTTCGATGACACAGTAGACACATTGATTGGGTCAAAATACTTTTCCAAGTTGGACCTTCGATCAGGATACTGGCAGATCGAGATGGACGAAGCAGACAAAGAAAAAAAGACCTTTTCTGTTGGTATCCTGGGTTTCTGGGAGACTAACAGAATAGGGTCTGGTCTTTATAATGCTGGTGCTACTTGTCAGAGAATGATGGAAAAGTGTATGGGTGACATGCATCTGAGAGAATGTCTCATTTTCCTTGATGATATCCTTATCTTCTCACGTACTTTTGACGAGCACTTGACTAGGTTGGAATCGGTTTTTGCCAGACTAAGCCAACATGGCCTGAAATTAAAACCTTCCAAATGTGATTTTTCAAGAAATCTGTGACATATTTAGGGCATGTCGTGTCTTAAGACGGTATAGCTACGGACCCTGAAAAGGTGTCTGCCGTCAACGATTGGCCACGACCACATAATGTAAAGGAGCTTCGTCAGTTTCAAAGATTCAGTGGGTACTACCGGCGTTTTATCAAAGATTACGCTGCAATAGCACAACCCCTAAATCAACTCTTGCAAGGTCATGATCTGCAAGAAATCTAAGGTCAAACCGAAGATTAAATCTAAGAAAAAACCTAATGCAAAGGCTGAATGGGTCTGGGAAGAGTCCCAGCAGGTCGCCTTTCAGACATTGAAGGAGTGACTGATGAATCCACCAGTTCTGGCATATGCTGATTTCACTAAGCCATTCATCCTCCATACTGATGCCAGCGGCCTAGGACTAGGCGCTGTGCTTCATCAGAAACATGAAGATGGCGAGAAAGTGATCGCGTATGCTAGTCGTGGGCTACGACCAGGTGAGCCGAATTATCCGGCACATAAGATGGAATTCCTTGCACTTCAGTGGGCAGTTACGGACAAATTTCATGACTACCTCTATGTTATTTCATTCGAAGTTGTGACCGACAACAATCCTCTTACTTATGTGCTTGGAAAAGCCAAGCTGGATGCCAACGGCCACAGGTGGGTTGCTGCTCTTGCAAATTATGATTTCATCCTGTAGTATGGTGGTGGGAAAAATAAAACGCTCACGCGGACGGTCTCTCACGCATATCTCAGGTTAGTACTGACGTTGTCAAGACTATATGCCAATCAGCAGTCATTGTCCCCCCGCTAGCGGAAAGTGTGTCTGACGATTATGTGCCTTATCTGGCCAGTGAGAGTGCGGAGTCAACAGATAAACTTGCGACTATTGACTGGGAAAAACAGCAGCATCAGGACTCGGATATTGCGCGGGTTTCACACCTGGAGAATACAGAGGGAAACGGCTCAAGGAAACTCAATATGTTCAGAAAATGTTCAGAACTTGGAATACCTCGAGTTTACACGACAGTGTTCTGTTTAGAACCGCTTCTCTTGACGGTCAGAAAATCAAACAGCTTGTACTACCAAAGCAGAACCATTCCCTCGCCCTGAAGGGTATCCACGATGATGTTGGTCACCAGGGAAAGGAGAAAACACTTTGGTTGTCTAGGCAGCGTTTCTACTGGCCAGGTATGGAGAAAGATGTAAACGAAAAGGTTGAGACCTGCGGTCGCTGCATAAGAAGGAAATCTCCTATCAAACCTAACGCTGGATTAGTACCCATACAGACGACAAGACCGATGGAGTTGGTGTGTATCGACTTTCGCGGTCTAGAACGGTCGTCTGACGGATTTGAAAACATTCTAGTGATAACCGATCACTTTACCAGGTATGCCCCAGCTGTGCCTTGTAAGAGTCAAAAGGCGTACACTACAGCCAAAGCTTTCTATGAGAAATTTATAGTGTATAACAGTTTTCCTGAAAGGCTACATAGTGATCAGGGTCGTAACTTTGATTGAGAGTGGTGTTAAAAAAAAACTCTGTAAGGTGGTCGAGGTTCCCCCTACAGCGTCTGACCGCAAGGACAGATGTGAGGAACGGACAGTCGGTGTCGCTCAGACAGACTCTGAAACCTCATCTTCATCTTCAGACTCCAACATGGAGACCGAGTTACCACCTCCTTATAACCCGAGGCGTTCCACGCGACGCAGGACGAAAAAAATAACCCCTGCACATGAGACACCGTTAACTCGATATGAACTAATGACCATTATCACTGAGAGTGATCTGGGTCAAAGTTCTGACTTAGTTTAGTTACTGGAGTCTACAGTTGACTCCAGTGTGCATGAGGGCTTCATAATTCTATGCGAGAGCCAGAGTCTGTGCCAAGCCTTGATTTGAGCTCACCTAACTCTCATTAGACGAATCCAGGAAGGCATGAGGTTCAAGAACCTAGACGTACAGGACGTGTACGTAAACCACCTGATCTGTATGGGCATTGGGTTTTTCTCCTGCAAAGTCATTCAAAAGTCTGATGTAAACCTGTCAAAAAGTTGTATCAACACCGAACACTAGTATTTTTTAATCCATATCATTGTTTTTAACATATGTCGAGGTGATTCCTTGAGGTATTTTAAAGTATTTTTAACGTGATCTGTGATGGTCTATAGCCTTGATGGTATGGATAGGCCAAACCTCAGGGACGACCTAAACAGGGGACGAGACATTTCATTACAAGTATAGTTATTAATATCATGTTTTATACATATCATCCAGTATTGTTTTACCATCATATCATCAATGTGTTTGGATCAACGTGCTGGATTGGTATGGATTGGCCAAACCATTCAGTTCGCTGATCAGAAAACCCATTGCTTGCAGAAGCATGTATCATCATTATCTACATTAAATGGATCAGTTGTAGAGGATGTCTATTTGGACCAACCCTTATGCAGCGTTATATGTGACGACATGCAAATAGTTGTTAAGATCCTGCAGGTGTCCTATATATAATTATAGTGACTCTGTATTCACTGGTATGGATAGATCACCTGTGAAGGTGACCTATATTATACAAGATGATATGTGTGTAGCAGTGGTGGATTTTGTAGATTAAACATCAACAAACACTGTGAGAATTCTTCACGATTTATTGTGCGTAGTTCCCATTCTTTAGACATAAATGATTAAACCCTGCAATTATATAATAATTACATTTCAGATATATGTATGGGATCTACAACTCATTCATAACGCACATATACATGTAGCACACTGTGAATTCACAAGAAGTTATCTTGAGATGTTACATGTAAGATTATAGTTCTATAAATTATAAAAGTTATATTACATCTAGATTTACATTATATTTACTGATATTTATACACATGTAATATTGAACATATGATGTAAATCTTATCTTAGCTCAGTATTTATTGATACGGAGGTTACTTAATAAATAGACAAAGTGTACAATAAAATACATTCATCAATAATTACTATAAGTTTAAAATAGAAAACTGTACCTATTTGTGGAACAGGGCCATTTGAAGTCGTACGGAATTAACCGAGGTTTTTACGTGTACTCGTAATTTCAGTGTCCTGTCTTGTCTGCTTCGTCAAGACGTCATGTAGTCTCTCATAAATATCGCGCCAAAAACCACCGGTCACACAAAGAAAACAAAGAAACCCTTGACCATTGGCTAACCCAAGAGGTGACAACGGGATAACTTACAAAACTGACCAATGATAAAAATATATATAACCAAACCAATCCAAGAGGCCAAAATAAGGAAATAACTATACCATAATATGAAGATCGCTATTACTATATATATCAGAACATATGTATATACCGTAATGTTATAAATATAGATATCACAAATATCGTCTCTGCCACATTTGTATAGGATCATATTCCCTATTATAATTGCGGAAGATACTTCTTAATAAATCTACTCGTTTATTGGTACATTATATATCTGTATAGTCCATACATCATAATTATGGTCGTGTTATTACTGTTTAATGAAACCGGGTGGGTAGTGAGGCATCCGGTTTTATGACAGTGCTAATTTGTTATTGTTACTTGTGCAATACGTTTTCATATAATCAATAACCTATGTAATAAATGTTGATATGATTGTATGTAGCGCCAGGAGGCGTGTTCACTGCTCTAACACATCATTTATCACTTGCCTAACATTCTCATTCTTACATAAGTAAGAACATGTCACTATGTATGTGCGTGCGTATGATTGGTCGAATGGAACGGAATGCACGGGCAGACCAGAGTCATGTCAAGTACGAAACAGCGTAACGATAAAATTAATCGACTCTTAACTCGGGTGTCGCCCCTCTCAATCTAATTAATATTAGATCTTCGCATCGCTCCCGTTATCTAATATAACTTTGACCGACCTATCAGTTAACACGAGCCTCTTGTCATTTAGATTCGTTTAAAGTGCTGTCAAAACTATTCCTAACGTACAACAAATGCAATAACGGAATCCTCTCCTTCAATAATTAACATTTCAATCTTATTAGAAAATCAATAACTCACGATTTTATTTACGCTGAAATATGGTTTCAATAAGCACGTGGTGTTAACAATGTGCTTGTGACACTATTAAGCTGATGATTAGGCTAATTTAAATATTGCTATACAATAGTTCGCTAGTTATACTGGTGGATGCGCGGGACAACACGTTCGTTGTATCTAAAAATGTGTCTGGCCTCGATGGCTCAAAGGTTGTTCAAGTTAGTGAAAAATTCGGAGGATTTTTTTTGCTTTGAAACTTTTGTTTCTTATTTGCAACAGTTCGAATTTTTCACTAACTTCTAGTTTAAGTTGAACAACCTTTGAATTTTGTCATGACATATATTCAGTCTTTGCGTATTGCAGAGTTATCTTCTCTTGTGAGTAGGTATTGTTTGTGTCACAGAATAGCGATCGGTACCTTTTATTCTAGAGCATACGGCAGATGTATGATGAGGTCGTTTAAGTTGTTCTCTTTTTGTTTAGGTTCATTTATAAGGGTGTTCGACCTTGGTCGGTATTATATATCGTGGTTTATCTATCATTTAAACCTATGCTTTCAAAATATTGAGTTCTCTATAATCTTGTTTTTACTATTATTACAGCATATGGACATCGAGTCCAATCCTGGCCCGGGGCGTGGAGAGCTTTCAATATTTCACCTTAATATACGAAGTGTTAGGAATAAATTAGACTACATAGAGGATATATCTGGTGAATATGATATTATATGCCTAACTGAAACTCATTTAGATGATCAGGTCTCTACAGATGACTTACTTATAACTGGTTTTCATGTACCTTTTCTACTTGATAGAAATTTTGCTGGTGGTGGTGTTCTGGTTTATATCAATAATATTTTAAAAGTTGACCGTTTGCTGGAATTATAATATCCAGGTGATGAGATTATTTGGTTAAAAATCACTCTACCAAATTTTGTATTGGTTATCGGTTCGGCCTACAATTTTTGGGAAAATTTACGTACGTCTTTAAACCATGCTCTAGATATTTCACCAAATGTTTTAATCATGGATGATTTTCATGTCGACTTATTAACTGCATCTCGTTACCATGTTTTTCTTGATATTATTAACGACGATATTTGATCAGCGTCATTTGATCAGCGTCATTTTAAAGCTTCAAAAGAAACCGAAGTTTTTATGCAATTTTATTTCTTTTATAGTTTTTAACCCATATATAAGAAATGAAATGCATCAGCACTTTTCCATTCAAACGATCCTCGAACGGGGTAACGCACATCACGGAATATGTTTGATCAGAAAATGTGTTGCACACTATCATATATGTAAAAAAATGAGCATTTCAATACTGAAACAATCTCATTCCTGTCGTAAGGACATTGATTGGTGATACTAACCACATATTGGTTGCAATGGTTACCAGTGGTACTTCGGAATTTTCCAATATTTTCTTGCTCTATTAATTTGAGGGAAGATTCTGACACAGTTGGTTGTGAGAAATTGTGGGGTGAAACTGCGACATCTTGGATTAAATGAACATATATTTATGGTATATATTAAATGCTCAGCGTTTAGAATTTAAAATGTACTGTCAGAAAAAGGATGAGAGACAGACAAAAATAAAAATCGCAATATTCTTAATATACAGGTATTAATGAAGGTCAGAGAATGGATCCCTGTGGAAAACCTATTTCCGGAAAGGACTTCCCAATAAAAAACTTGTTTCTGTATATTTGAGAAATATCGTATGATTTAAATTTTAAAAGACGTTTGTGCCAAACTTTATCGATGACCTTCACTATATCACAAAACACCAAGCATGCACGTTTCTTGTCTAATTGTTGAACGGCCTAGCATAAAACCCGGCCTTAATAATGATTCGGCAGTTAATATGACGTAAAACACAAAGGTTACATTCGTGTATCCCGGTTGAAACGGCACAGGCGATGCAGGAATATTCCACGATAAACGACCGCATTTTGGACAGTTCTATAAGCAGAGCTAAAATTGACCAGTTTCGGAGAATAAATAATGTATCAAGTATATTATGCCCTTCTTACACGCGTCCACTGAATTATATAACGTATCCTAAAAACTACATGTGGCTTGACATTGTTTTAGAAAGAAATAACGCTAGCAATAGTCAGCATTTTAGTTTCGGTCAGGTACGTCTGGACCTCTCATTCTACACGTGCCGAATATTCCTAAGGTCAGCCGTGGTTCAGATCTGTGCCTGTCGTTTTCTTTACAGGTTCAACCGTTTCAACCGTTTCAACCGGATACCCGAAAGTGATCTAACAAACCAAACGTACGCGCACGTGCAAGTCTAATATTCTTTTATAAGAAAAGGGAAAACAAATCCGGAATAAATCTGAAAGGCACCGGCGTAAAACAAAATTGTGAGAAATGTCAAACAATACGGATTACCACCTTGATTTATAACCAAACGCAATGCACCCTCCAATGAGACGTGTTCGACGAACTGGTTCGTTCCGGCGAACTGTCACATTCCATTTAGAACGTTTCGCTAAATGGAACACGCTTTCATACAAACAGAAATACGCTACGATGAACTAGCACGATAAGATTATTATTAAAACATTGCCAGCAATAATATTTAGAAAATGTTTAATCATTCTAGACGGTCATTGCCCTGTATATCAACTATTTATAGAATACCACATGACTAATACTCGGTAAGTGGAGCAGTGGGCCATGTAGAGTTATGTAATATTAACGACCTATACAAAGGTAGAACTATCAATTACACATGTTCACTAACGTCACTTATTCTCCCGTACATAATGAGTTTTAATACAACTTCCCATATGGCTGGTTGATCGTATAGGGTTTTAATTTCTATCAAAAGCTAAGGTCATTTGGATTGTGAGAACAATTGATTGATTGATTGTTTGATAGGTTTTACGTCCCCTTCACTACCGAGTAGTTCGGTTATCCAGCAGACGAAGAAAAGACAGGTAAATGAGTAGAAGGGATACAGTATGGAGTGAATGGATAGAAGAGGGAGACAAGTTAGAGAAGTAGCCGTCTGTCCTATATGTATTTACTGTAAAAGTCTAGTTTTTGTAAGACGGTTCCTATGCCTAATAGTTGCCTTAACCTAACACTCGTCGTATAGCATCACCAAGCCTGGACCGGAAGTGAGGTACTTAGCCGCCGCTAGCTACACCAGCTCCTGTCTACTCTATAGTTTTTGTTTGGTATATATATATATATATATTGAAGTCCTTCTAAATGTCTAATAAAGAGAATCTAGCTCTATCGGCCGGAAACAAATCTAACCCTATCCTCTGTGTCGGCGCTACTCTCGCCTACTCTTTTTCGAAAAACTCAGAGGGATCTTATCGTGCGAGATTGGACAGTTCTCACACGGGACACCATTTATAGTCCCAACCGACGGACTTTTGTGGGAACAATCATGTAGAGGGGACACAGTGGCCAATTGGTTAAACGTCTGACATTATATTACATGTACCACTAGCCCTCCACCACTGGGTCGCGGGTTCAAGACCTACGTGGGGCAGTCGCAAGGTACTGGCCGAAGGTCAGTGGGGGTTTTCAGGGAACTCCGACTTTCCTCCACCAACAGAACCTGGCACGTCCTTAAAATGATCATAGCTGTTAATAGGACGTAAAATACAAACAAACCAAACCAAACACAGTATATAAAAATCATACATTCTGTGCATGTTTTGGAACCATTCAGCGTATACAATACATTTACATAAATTGCACAATGTCTAAGGGTTTGAAATATGAACGCCAGACTCAAAATTAAAAATTACACTCATTAACATTTATAAGGAGTATGAGTTTCTAGAAGTAGGAGTATTAAGAAATGCTTCATGTTTGCTATAAATCTTACGACATACAATATATCAAATTAATATTTACAGTCAACAGGATATTAATCATTCTAATTTGCCGGGATGTTAGCGCGCGGGGTCTCAATGTGGAAGGAAACCGGAATAGCCGGTGAAAACCCACGTGGTAGGGCAGGTGACCCCATACCTTTTCACGACCGAGTTATCAAGAGTGATTAAGTGCATCTTACACTCCCCTTGAATGGCTGGAGTTGCTTGGGATAGAAAGAAGGAAATTCCCCCGAAAATTCCGCGTTACAACGTTTCCAGAAATTAAAACCCGACCGTCTGCGTGGAAGTGTCAACCACTCAACAAACCATCCATGCAATACATCATCAATTTTTCATTTCAACTGTGAATTGTTCCTTACGTGATTCAATAAGTTCATTCAGTAAGAACACAAAAAGGATACCCAGTGGTAATATCACTTTGTTTCATAAATTGAAATCGATATCAACATACATAATTTACAACACAGATCGGATGTGCAGATAGTAATGTTAGCAAAGAGACTGAGAGACAATCACATTGGAATGCTGTGAAAAGATCAAATGGGTTGGACTTTGACAATGACGAAATTGATCATACCGAAACTGACATAAGCTCCGCCTACTTGTGAAATAGCGAAACACGGTAATTGAGAGAGTGCTCAAATTTCTGGAACATTCAGAAATGCTTGCATTTGCAGTATAGATGATTACGGCAAATTTTGGCAGTGGACGTAACCCTGCCAAGCATTTGACATTTTTTTTCAACGTTTGTAAATCTTAATACAGGCACGAGAAAATGAAACGTTTATCAGTACAGTGGGCCTTATCATGTTTATTTCTTGTATGTGACATACTGATCAAAATTAGTGGAGCTAGTTAAATTTTTGCGAAATAATTATTTTATTAAAAAGTTTTGCGTAGAAATAAAACGCATACATATATACATTGTACATGAATGTTGGACTTTTCATTGTTAAAAGTTTGATTGCACGTCAAAACACACATTCTTATTAATATACATCACAACAAACAATATTTCTAGAAACCAACATGTTTCCTGTTATGTCGGGTAATACATCTTGAGATAATTAATTGAAGTAACTATGTCAACTTATTCTAATTCAGTAAATGAGGGAAATACTATGGAACACGATACACTGGATATTGAGATAAGATATATGTTACTATCTTTATCCTGTGCTAGTGATATTCATAATATGTCAACATATCATATATCGAGTAACTGTTATCAACATGATATATCGACATACAGTATATTGAGTTACTGTTATTAACATGATATATCGACATACAGTATATCGAGT